CGTCCTTAGGGATTGCCCGGCCATGGTGGGAGTTTGGAGACGTATCGTACCAGCTCGGAGACTTCAATCATTCTTTGCGAAATCTCTGTTAGAATGGTTCTTTACAAACTTGTGCGAGGAGGCTGCGGGTGACGGGTGTTCTTGGTCTACCTTATTTGCAGTTGCGGTATGGTGGGCGTGGAAGTGGAGGTGTGGAGATATTTTTGGAGGGATGAGTAGGTTTCGGGACAGGGTTCGATTCATAAAAGACCTTGCCCAGGAGGTATTCATCGCACACAAGGCAGTCATAGGGGAATCTCGTACGGCTATGAGAGAAGTAAGGCTAATTGCGTGGAAACCACCGTCTGCGGGTTGGACAAAAATCAACACGGATGGTGCTTCGCGTGGGAATCCAGGATTAGCAACTGCTGGGGGTCTATTACGGGATGAAGGAGGTAACTGGATATGTGGATTTGCGTTGAATATAGGGATATGTTCGGCTCTTATGGCGGAACTTTGGGGAGTCTATTACGGGTTATATATTGCGTGGGAGAAAGGAATCACACGAGTAGAACTCGAAGTGGATTCGGAGATTGTGGTGGGTTTTTTGACGACAGGGATAAGCGAGAATCATCCACTGTCATTCCTAGTACGGTTGTGCTATGGCTTCATTTCAAGGGACTGGATAGTCCGAGTGTCTCATGTGTATAGGGAGGCTAATCGTCTTGCAGATGGATTAGCGAACTATGCGTTTACGTTATCATTGGGTTTTCATTTTTTGGATGGTAGTCCGCCCATTGTTAGTTCGTTGTTGTTTGATGACATGAACGGGTCTGCGTACCCTCGTAATGTCCGTGTGTAATTGTGTTTAAGTTTTTCTTTCAATAAAATGGGGAGGCTTTTGTCTCCCCTCCTCATACCAAAAAAAAAAAATAAGTAAATAAAAATCATCTAATTAAACTCGTAATATATCATTAACGTTATGGGATGTAACTAATCACAAGTATTCTGTGATTTACGGGATTGTTCGGGTAAAGGCTTGTAAGCAAATTGTTTCTTCTCGGATTCTTTTTGTGATTCGTTTAAAACAGTGAGGTGGTTGACAGATAATTTCCTATCTAAATTACCTTAAATTCGCAACGAGATGGACATATGAAACTCTACTGTATACGTTTGACCCAAATTAACTCTCTCTATCTCACACAAACATACACATAGTTTTTAACAAAAAAATAAATAAATACACATAGTGACATAGACTATAAATTTAACAAACAAAATATATATATATATATATATATATATATATATATATATTTAAACGTAAATTTCTATTGACTTATCATCATTATCAACCAAGTGGTTAATTAGGCAGAGGTGGAGACAAGCGGCAGAAAACCAGGCACCATTTACCAACTTGAAAAGTATAATTAAGATTCCTTATTATTATTGTAGACGTTTTGGGTCGTTAACTTATGCAAAAGCTTAGTTAGTTATTACAAATATATGGCGATTTAACAATATTAACCCACATTTTCTCTGATTACAAATATATAACATCATAGTCAAATTAGTTGCAAATTTCACACATATGCACCTTTCTTGCAATAAAAGACATGCATATTTCATTGCTTCATTGCAAAAATGAGATTTAGTTTTCTTCTGTTTAACTTTGCCGAAATTTACACATACGTATAACCTATTCAAAGTGTCAACGAATATGAGCTATTTAGACCTGTATAATTTAAGTGTATACTATTCTCTTACTAAATTAATTAGATTAAGTTGAGTATTTTACTCGCAATTGAGCGGGTCTAGAGGCTAGTTTTAACCCTTTAGTGAATAAGACAAATGGCATAGTCTTACTTTCACCTAAACCAACTAACTTTTTAATACTTTGTTTTTAATAAATTAGACCCCTTTTTTTTTTTTTTGGACAAAAAAATTAGACCCTTATAAATTAGTATAACCTACATTTTTTTTAGTTTATTTGGTCGAGTGGACCTTCCAACATCCGTCTCTTAGGATTCTCAATTATTTTGTTTTGTCTCACATTGTGTTACGTGTAAATCTAATGGAAAGAAGCAAAAGAAAAGAATAGATTTCAATATTTAATTGATGTATAAACAATATTACTTCATACATTTTGTACAGAAACAATAAGCAAAAAAAAGTATCATTCCTTTAGTTTTCTTAACGATACATATATATAGCTCCATGCATTTTCATTTTCAAACATTTAAACATCAAAGACAAAAATTGACTTCTGATACATGTATATGTTATATATACAACCATGAAAGGCGATGTTAGCTCCATACGAAAAAAAAGAAAAAGAAAAATTAAATCTAATATGAATATTTAACATCAAATGCTGATCATCTCTGATACATGGATACAACCATGAAGGCAATGTGAATTCTATACGTACAGAAGAAATTTAGATATCATATGAGGTAGACTAATAAGTAATCGTTAATTTTGATTTATATATACAGATAGCAAAGTTTTACTTTATATCGTGTAGAAAGATTAACTATATATGTCCCTTTATTAAAGTATGGATACATAGTAATATTTAAAACACGATCCATGCATGCCTTGACAATATATAAGCAACTAGAGAGTTTATCGATGCCTCAAGCTTTGTACCTTGGTGATATTGTTGTCTACTCAACTTATGCTTCATTGATCAAACCGAGTTTTTTAACTCTTATCATAAAGTTTTTTTGGCCGTATTTAGCTGATTTACTTGTTAATACATAAGTTTAATTTAACTATAAAACCATTTTTTAATTATATCTTATACCTCCGAACAAGTTACTTTTATCCATATCATTAGAAATTTACTACTAGTTCTAGTGCTTTTCTTTTTTGCCAATAGTTATGCTAAACACAAAAACATGTTTTGATTTTCCGTTTCACTCGAACATGGGAGTGGACCAGTTTTGATATCCCGGTCCGCTATCTTAATGTGCTGTTTATATGAATGATTTTTTAATTTCATTTTAAAACTAGAAAATCATTAAAAAAGTTATTTTCGTCAACAAAATATCTAACTTTATAGTTTATACTATCCAACCAAATATATGAATTATCTCAAATATTTCACATTATCTCAAAAAATTTCTATCCTTTTCATCATTCAATAATTAAAAAAAAAACATACAAAATATAAAATTGTCAGTATTAATTTTTTTGGGTTGCTTAGCTACTCTTCCATGAAGACGTACAAATTACAATGGAAAAAGAGAAAGTTAGGTTCACTGAACTAATAGTCACGTGTTGCATTCAATACACGGGCGTTTTTATCCCGGCGGCTGCCGCCACGTCAGCATATTCGGCGTTCTTCAGACAAGAGTGAGACCAATATGTCGGAGAAAGCCCTGATGACGAACTTGTGTGTGTCGGTTGGATTCAAGGAGAGATAAGTGAGTAGGAGCTCATCCAAGAAATCGTAACCATCGTTCGGATCACGGCTAAGTTCTCCGGCGTCAATGGCGGCGTCAATCATCTCTTGCATTGATCGCCGGAAGTCCGTTAACGGATCCGGTGAGTCCACGTTTTGAGTCACGGCGGTTCCTCCGCTTATAAGCCTCGTAGTAGTAGTCACGGTAGTATCATAATTCTTCTTCTTTTTCTTTGTCGACGTGATAGTGGCATTATCGTAGTTATCAGAGAATTCTCTTGACCGGGTTTCTGGTGAGTCGGTGATTGCATTGGACCGGCCAGGGGAAGAGAAGAAGAAGCGACGAGAAGCGAAAGCCGCGGATACATCAGGAGAGATATCAGATTCATATGATGACGTGGATGACGAGGAGGTGGCTGCCGGAGTGGTGGTGGCAGAGGAGGAAGGTAAGTCAGTGACACGGTGGTGTTGGTTGTTGTCATGGTGGTAGAGGAGGTTGAAGTTATTGAGGAGAACGATAGAGGGACGGCTAGGTTGGTCGGTAAAGTCTTGATCGGCGGAGGACGGGGGAATACACGGCGAAGAATAGCATTTGGTGAGATTCGACGGGAAGCAAAGATGGAGGCTTTTCCACAAGATTTTTGGCATTTTTAAGAGAGAGAGAGAATAAATGTTTCGAGCAAATGGATATGTTGGCATATTTTGTAACATATATACACAAATGTCTCAGTTACGTTTATTAAAAGGGTACTTATGTAATTTGCAAATTTCATTAATTATGAGTTTACCATCAATTTTCTGATTTATCTCATTTTCAAGAATCGTAATCCAGCTACCAAGATTCTGAATGTTGACTATGTGTTCACCAATCACCACATCCACATGAACTTGTGTTGCGACTTGCAAAACAAAGTCACTGTACTTGTTATTTACTAAATGCAGTTATTAGGATCCTTAATTTTCATCTATATTGATGAAACGTTTACAAAGTAGATTCAAAAAATATACTTTTCCCTAACGGGTATTGTACTTTCGAGTGAATGTGAATACCAGATATTTACTTTTTTAGATTTTTTCTCTCTTTTTGTTTGATACTTTCTAATTTTGTAATTATTTACTTTCTTTCTGAACACTGACGTACAAAGCTGAATTCAACATGGGGAGGTATTTCTTTATACGTGAATGGTATTTATTAATTTTGGTTTATTCATATAACCTTATAGTTTGTCAGAGTTACAAAAACTGCAAAATATGAAGAATGATTGTCCTTGCAATTACAGAATAGAGAGCTCACGAGGAGGTAAATTCATCCACCACCTAGATTGGTCCACTCATCATGACGTAAAGCCAAAAGACGTTAGTTCAAGTACGAATACTCCCCTAGTGTGGTCCTGATTTTGGACCTTTGGTCCACCGGTCCGATTCACAAGGTCAGGTCGAGTTTTCACTGGTCCGACCAAGCAGCTCATTCGGTTATTTTTGTTTGGTTAAAATCCTAAAGATATTTTAGATACCAGTGAGGCAGTGACTATCACTAAGTCTGGCCATTTTTGTAGATATAAAATCATGTAATAAGGATTAAAGATCGGTTACTGATAATGTGGTGTCAAGTGCGGATAATTTAAATCCATAAAAATTTACAATTCAAATCCTCGCCGGATATAAGCAAGTTAAACATGTAAATGAATTATCCAATATATATATATATATATATATATATATATATATATATATATATATAATACGTATCTGGTTAGATGATTTGGTTACAGAGACTAATGTCAAGTTATGTTTGTGAAAGGCTTGACTCTTTTTGTGTTTCGGGTATCTTTCCTTGTAGCCCATATATTTTCAGGGTTAGCTCTCATTACTGGTAAGATCGTATCGGATAACACTCGAAATGCAAAGCCAGCCTAGCTATCATCTTGCCAAGGCTAGGGTGGACCGGTGGTACCACTTTGTGTAATTATCCGGCACCAGAAAAAAAGAGATTCGAACTCATCTTTCACATGGATAAATTTATGTGGGTCACCTACAGAAAATATAGCTATCATCATATTTTGTTGTTACATAAGCGACTCATGAATCGTCCGCCAATATTCCATCACCAAATAAGAACCACAAAAAGCGGCGATTGATGGATCATAAGATTTAGATTATGGTAAGTTGTAGAATGTTTGTAATGCCTAAAGGCCATTATGCCCCATGTCATGTTGGGGTATGGACAACTACTTAGCCCCACAAATTGATGTCCCATTTGGTTTAGACTGGAATTTTGAGACATATTTTCTTTATTTTGCTTTTTTTGGGCTCATCAGTTCTCTTCATATGGATGTTGCAAATGACCAATTCGGTTCAGTTCAGGTCGGTCGGGAGTCGATCGGGACTAAGACCCGACTTTGATCTAGCCAAACCTAATTTAGCCTCGATATTTAGGATTTAGGTCTGACTCGTTCAAGCTTTATAGCAATACAAATCAACCCGCAGTTAGAAATGAAACATTTGATAGGTCAATCCAGCCTGAACCGGGTGAGTTAGGGCATATATGACCAAAACAACTCATAACCCAAAATTTCATAGATTCATCACAAATAATATATGAATGTATGGTTGTTTTTAGTTGGGTCTCTATCTCTATTATAACTATCCCAATCTCTTCGGTGTTGTTATAGGGACATGGCAACAACTAGACAAGGAAAAGCTCATAAATGCGATACATCCAACATTCAAAGCACATGACACGAACTTTGAAGCGTAAGTTGTCACAAGTTAACATCAAACCTAGACATATTCTACATATGCAGCCTTTAGTTATCCTGTTCCAACAAACTGATTATTACCACATCTTTATTTCAGGTACGCTCAAGATCGACTTGCTACCTCTAATCCGTTTCCTGCAAAATTTGACGACAGAATCTGTAAGTTGAAACAGACAGGATCGGGAACAACAATCCTAGACACATGTTCCGCATTGGTTGAGCAAAGTTGTTCTAAATAAGAAGAGTAGACATATATGTGACTTAGTTATAGTTATTAAGCAGGGTTATGAGAGATTATACCATCTGGATCAAAGAAGAAAACTTGCTTGACTTTTCCATCAGGAAGAGACTTCTGAAAAGTTTCTATCCTTTTTTCCTACACCATACAACGACGAGAGAAGATCAATGAAATAACTCTGGGGGATACCTACAAATAAACATTCTTGAAACGATTGCAGAAGACTAGATGATCGTCAAAAGACTTAACAGAGTAGAACTTTGAGATGCTGAGGAAGCATAATTGTTTTAACCAGTCTAGATTCCATGCTAACCATATCCATAACTCCTCATTCTGTATAATCAAAGCAATGCCAAAGAAACAATACCTTGAGAGAATGAAGGAAAGAGTCGAAATTTGGGACGGAGAAGCAGATATGGTGACCCATTGGGAGATGGCTAGGATCACGAACCGCTGAGGTAGCACTGTAAGGACCTTCTGGAAGGTTGGTTGAAGGGTTTCTCTGGATAATGTGCATTGCAAAAGCACCTGGTAAGTTTAGCCATATCACCTTTAGGTCTCCAAAATCAGGACTTTCGATCTCCTCGAACCCAAACACCTGAAAATAAGCCATTGGTTTCAGAACAAAAGGAAGGAAATATAAAATAAAGAAGATGACGATGAAGATAACATTAATTTGATCAAAATGATTAAGACTACGATATAAATATTAATTCTTTTTCTCTTCCAAATGTGGAAATTAGAAACGAGACACATCCACAAAAGCAACACAAATCTCTAAATCAAAAGCCAATTTGCAAACCCTAGATTCTATTCCAGATGGATGGGTATATAATCTTTACAAAGACTTAAATCAAAGGTTTCGTTTTTGTCGAATTGGTAACAATTCAGAAACCAAGAACAGAGAATTTGATGAATCCGAGAAGAGAGATAAAAAAGAAAAGTGTAAGAAATTGAATACGTCGATTAGGTATCGTAACCTCTTTGTAAAACTCGGCAAGGCGTTTGATGTCGGAGGATTCTCTGGCTATATGGCCAAGACTCGCCATGTTTGGTTCTAAGAGGAGGAGGACAAAGCTTATCAAAAGAAAGAAGAACTCAGAAACAAAAGTTACAAAAAATGGTCGACAAAAAAATTACTAACACATCCTTAATTCCAGTCATCATGTTCACCTAATTATGATGAACTAGTGTTATAGCCCGTGCGTTGCACGGCCCTTTTTCAACATTTTGGATCTTTCTTTATTTTGGGCCATCGTTAAATTTTCTTTGTAGTATTGCTGGGCTATTGGGCTACTATATTAGTTTATTAAAAATAAAAATAAATAAAAAAATAGAATAGCAGACGCAAAAAATTGCTTCGAGAGTGATAATCATTTTTGCAGCTCATTCACAAAAAAAATTCTTCGATTTCTCTTTTTTTTCTGATTGTTCATCCTAAAATTTGCGTTTGTTTTCCTTCACTAAATCCTATTTATCTTCTAATATGATTCTCGTCTCCTTAATTTTGGCGTCTGCGTCTCCGTCTCCGGTCGAGTTGAATCATCTAGAAGCTGTTTCGATTTCGGCAAAGCTATTTGGTAAGAAATCCGAGAAGCAATAATAATAACATCTGAAATCCTAAGTCCTAAGAAAAAGTGAGAATCCTAAATCCTAAGTCCTAACATAGTAAAATAAGAGAGACGACAGTTTTAAGTACAATCATTTCTTTTCCTTCTTAATCTGAGCCTTGGACATTAGCTTAGGCTTCGTTGATGATTGTTGAACATCTTTAGATGTTGCCAAGGATCTTTTAGTTGTAGGCTTTGGAGTGGAAACGTTATAAGCGTTGTCTTCATTGTTGTCTAATTTTTCCATATCAACAAAGTTAATTTCAGCCTGCAAGAAAAGATAAAAATAAGTAATAGTAAAAGGATATGGATAAGTGATAAATTGAGTTTACAACCTGAGTTGAGGTCCCGATTGAAGTCCCCACTGAATTTCCAGAGACAGTGATTATTTCTTGTTCAATAGCATTCTAAAAGCAACAAACAAAAGCAAATAATAAGAATTGAATATACTAATGGATCATATTTAAATTTCACTTATTTTGTATACTTACCAAAGTATAAGCACTTTCAGAGAAACTTTGAATAACATCGGGAACATCAGTAAGACTTATAACTTTGTATGTAGAAGATTGGTTATACTTTGCCTCATCTTTAACCATGATTTTGAAAACATAATTACGACCGTCTAGATCAAGCAGGAATTTGTTGCTCAAGCAATTCATATGCTGATTTTTTATGAGTGGAATGACCACGTCGTTGAATAAAATCAACGAAGCACTACCTGTGTTATCTGTTGCTTTGACAAACAATTTAAACCTAGAAGAATAGATATGCTTCAGAAATACCCAAATCAATTATGAAAATAGATTAACATGTGTATGAATATGAAAATCGTAAAATACCTGGGTTGTGTCGTGGTTATCTGTTTACCGCATTTCTCACAAGAATACTTATCAAATTCTATTTCTTCAGTTTCAGGGTTAAAATATTGTTTTGCTTTAGTAAAGCAAAGCGTGCAACCGATGTAAAACCAAGAAGCTTTTGGCTCCAGAGAAATTGATGCAAGTATATTGCAGGTCATCACCTAGGTTTTAAGAATGAATATGTTCAGTCGATAGCTAAAAAAGTGGTGGATTCATAATTATGTATTAAATTCTTACTTGGTTAGTTTCCATGAGTTCGATGATTGTTTTTCTTTCAGATAAGTGAAATGACTGTTTGGAAATATGAGCCGACTTTGAAGATATTATTTCAGTAATAGCTAATCTTGGTTCTTCGTTGCACAACCTATAACAGAAAAATATTTGCGTTTAAAAGCTGAAAATATAAGCTAATGAAACAGGACGAAACATATATTATGTATATTTACTTACGCTTCTTGAAACTGAAGAATCTCTGGTAGTGGAGAATTGATATAAGCTTTTGTTGTAAATTTTGAGCTTTGAACTGTGCCTTTACCTGGAAAAGAAAAATTCAAAAGTTAAATGTTTTATACATCTTAACACTCTTTTTCTCAATGATACGTTTAAGAATACGTATACCTTGATATAGCAAAGTCTTCATCAAACTTCCAAGAAAAACAACAGGACCTGATGGTTGGGATTTAATATTAGAGTAGACATCTTCTGCAAGTTTACCCCATAAGGCAACATCAATAAGTGAATCCCTGAGGAAGAAAAAGAATTGTTTAAGAAACATCAATAAGCGAGTCTCTTCTGAAGATTTCAAACATGAATAAAGGATGAATTTTAAAATTACCCAAGATCTTTAAGCTGAAGATTAAGCAACTTTGTTGGACCTTCAGCAGTAGTGATACTCTTAACTTCATTCATCCCAACAATCTCACCAATAATGTCTGGAAATTTGGAAAATTACATTGAGAAATAACTTATAGATGAATAGGAAAAATAAAAGTGGTGGAGATAACGTACCAATGAATATAGTATCATCATTTCTTCTTGCTAATATCTTAGGAAAAGGACATAAGTTGAAACACGCTTCTAGATTAGGAATCTCCTCGCTTGGTTTAACACATGTGTAGAATATGAAATTGATCTTGTAAGGATGGTCACAACTCCGAAATTTTCCTAGATTTGGGCATAATTCAAAGTTCATAAGAACACAACATTTCCCTTCTTTTAAGTCCTTCTGAAATTTATCGAGTAATTTTGCTTTTACAGAAGCTTGTATCCTACTTCCCTGTTTCAAAATAAAACGTCAAACGTATCACAGAGTTGTTATAAAAAAATGCTCATCCAATTATCACATCTCTCTCTCTATCTTTTAACATAACAACATTACATAACAAAGCATTCATGTTTTTGTTCAATAGATTCTCGCCTCTTTCCACTTACAACTAAATAATTCAGCTAAGACAGAGGCTGTTTTTGTAAAGTGAATTCACGACTAAACAACTCAATATTTCAGCAAAGTAAATAATTCAGCAAACTAAACCATACAATTATCACATCTCTCTGTCTCTTCTAACATAACAACATTACATAACCAAGCATTTGCCTTTGAATTCAATAGATTCTCGTCACTAAATAATTCAGCAAAGTAAATAATTCAGCAAACTAAACCGTGTTATTATCACATCTCTCTCTATCTTCTAACATGACAACATTACATAACAAAGCATTCATGTTTATGTTGAATAGATTCTCGTCTCTTTCCACTTACAACTAAATAATTCAGCGAAGACAGAGGCTGTTTTGTAAAGTGAATAAACGACTAAACTCAATAATTCAGGAAAGTAAATAATTCAGCAAACTAAACCATCCAATTCGAGTGGCATGTCTAGAGAATTAAGTTTGCAATATAAACCTGCAAATCCAAAATCAAATGTAAAATTAAAAATTATATGAAGAATAAGAAGAAAGTGTTAAATAGAAAATAGGATGGGTCTCGGTAAGGCACGACGTGTGAAGAACGATGAAGAACAAAGTAAACCAAATTTGATAAATTAGAACACAAAATTTGTAAATTGAGAGATTTTGCAATAGAAGTATCAGTTGGAATTACCCGATTAGAGCTAGAGGGAACATAAATCAAAAAAGGAAGAGGTCTGATAGCTTTATGTATGAAGCCATGTTGTTGTGCTATTGTTGAGAAGTGGAGCTTGATATCCAGATCGTGGGAGAAGAGGGGCAGCAGTTGTGTAAAAAAAAAAAATTTGTCGTCAATTTCTTTTTTGTATTTTAAATAATTTTTTAATTGATAATTGATAATTGATAAATAAAGGCAGAAAAGAACCGAGAGAAATAAGCCTTGTTTGAAAAATCGCTAGGCGCTAGTCGGGCGCTCGGCATGGGCCTAGCGATTAATCGGAAAATCGGATTAAAATCGGGGATTAATCGGGGATTAGTTTTAGGGTTATTTTAATATTTTTAAAACATATTAATCCAATATTATTTTTAAAATTGCAGTAAACACATAAAAATGTATTTTTGAGACAAATATTTATGATTTTTATTAAAATATGAACATAAATTATTGTAAAACATTACAAACTCCCAATTCAAATGATTGAATAACAAAAATAAAAAGTTTTTTTATACTGGCAATCTAAAAATAATCGGGTATGTAAGATTAGGCGGGGAATAATCGGATTAGGCGGGGAATAATCGGATTAGGCGGAGAGTAATCGGGTGACTGATTTCTTTAAGGGATTAGTCATTAATCGAGGCGGACAGGGTGGGCCTAGCGATTAAGCGGGGAGTAATCGGGTCTAGGCGGGGATTTTTAGAACAGTGGAAATAAGTAGTTGAGAAGTAAAAGTAGAGAATTTGGGGTTTAAGACAGGTGTCAGAAGGATAGAGCTGCAGTTAATAGTAAAATGACTTGTGATTTATTAGATAGGGATACGTGGCATCAACTCGTTATGACACATCTTTAATCAAACCATACGGTTTGAACCGATCGGTTTGTATATTGATTTCTCTGAAGCCGGCCAGAATAATTAAATAAAAAAGTGATTATTTACTTTATTAACTAGGATCGGACCCACGGTCCACCACATGAAAATATTAGTTTACATACGTTGATTTTAATATTGTGCATGAGTGAATCGTATAGTGTACTTATAAATATTCATAATAACGAATTGTAGAAAAATGTTAAATTGTTTATAATTAAACCCATCATATTAATTATGATTTACAAAATAGAATTTTGTGTTTTAGAATTCAAAAATTAGACGATTCATGGGAATTATAGCAGTCAAAATAGGTCAAAAACTGCAGGTCGAGCCCAAATCATCTTACTATGGGGCAGATTTGGGAAAATATATTAAACCCGCAAATAAGTGGGTTACATGGATTGATTCGCAGTGGGTCATCGGTTTTCGTCCGCGGATTGGCGGATCAGCCCGCTTGTTAGTATTTATTGATAAAAATATAATTTATTCAACATGTCGTAATTAAAAACTTTTAATAAATGAAATTATAAATTTATAAATATAATGATATATAAAATTATTTTCTCTAAATTTTTATTTATTTATTTATTTATTTTAGTAGTATTTTAAATGTTGATTACTTTAAAATTATTTAAACAAATCTACGAACAACTCCGCAAATTAGCATCATTCGTGGGATGGGTTGGTGTTTCATATATGCTACCCGTGGGTCGTGCGGACCGACTAACTACATGTCGAGATATATTTTGCCTATCGCAAAACGGGCTTAATGAGACGAATCAACTCGTTTTGACAGCTCTAATGAGAATATTATTTAGTCATACAACAAAATGGAGTTTGTACATTGGAATAATATAATTTGTATCTTATTTGTTAGATGAGAGATTGAAAGATGAAATATAATGATTAAAAAATTAATTAATATTTTTCATGATTCATAAAATTTAATAAATATTTATCATCTTGTTGAATAATTCTAAAACTTATATTCAAGAAATCTTTATAATTTTAAAATTAAACTTCTTTGATAAGCTATGAGTACGTATGAAAATACCATAATTTTGATTTAATCTAATTAAATTAAAATTAGTTACATGGATTCTATATCTATTTAATTTACAGGACCAAAATAAAAATATCTATTTAATTTTTTAAAATAGATGAGTTAGTTGTGATAAATTTTCTAGAAATCTTTAGAAGCAGGTAAGATATCTTTGGCTAAAATAAGCAAAATTAATGACAAAAACGTTGATTGTAATGGAATTAGTTCCAAAAATATATGAACACATATATTATACGTAAATAATGTATACTATTGTTCGGAATATGCTTTTATAATTAGTTACCATAAGTACAATCAGATTTTATTTGATTTCCATAAATATTTGATTTTAGTTCGATTTTTTATTATTAATTCGAATTTATATTCCAAAAAAATTTCAAAGATCCAATTTCAGAATTTCGGGTCAATTTTTTTATTTTGATCCGACCCATTTTCATTTGTACGTGACCCGGAAAAAATTATTTGTTGCTTAATCCGAGTATCCCCGACCAATTAGAAATGTTCGAACCCAACAATGTATCCGGTTTAAAACATCCGGTCCGGTATTAAACCCTTTATGTCTCCGAAATCTCTCACCTCCACCAATTCCTCATTTTCCCAATCGCACTTCCTTTACCACTTCAGATCAGACGTCAATTTCTTCAACTCTCCACTGAAGAGATTTCACCGAAATTTCTACTCCGATCGATCAATTAAAGATTGAAATGGAAGCTAATTCCGGCGGAGGAGCTGAAGGCGGAAGAGCGGCAACCGGAGGAGGAGGAGGGAGCGATGTGGAATTGGTGAGCAAGACGTTGCAAGTGGAGCATAAGCTTTTCTATTTTGATCTTAAGGAGAATCCTCGTGGAAGGTATCTAAAGATATCGGAGAAGACGTCGGCGACGAGGTCAACCATCATTGTTCCTTCCTCCGGCATCTCTTGGTTCCTTGATCTCTTCAATTACTATGTCAATTCTGAGGAACACGAGCTTTTTAGCAAAGAATTGCAGCTTGATTCCAAGGTTTTAACTTTATTTATCATCACTCTCCTCTGGGTACGCTCGTTGACTTTTCGACTCTCTTTAATTTTTGCTGTGTTGCTTTCTTTAGGTGTTTTACTTCGACATTGGTGAGAACAGAAGAGGACGCTTCTTGAAGGTATTGTTTTCCTCAATGAATTTGTAGTTTTTTCTTTTCTTTGGTATATGTGAGTTGGAGATTTAGGGAGTACTATATGTTTAGCAATGTTCATTTCATTTTGGTCGCCATTCTGGTTGTGATGGGTTTTGGTGTGGTGGTGTTAGGTGTCAGAAGCATCGGTTAGTAGAAATCGAAGTACCATTATTGTTCCAGCTGGAAGCTCTCCTGATGAAGGATGGGCAGCTTTCAGGAATATATTGGCTGAGATTCATGAAGCATCAGGACTTTTTGTGATGCCAAATAAGGTGGTATTATCGTCTCCTTTGATAGTTTTGGTTGAAATGCCGTCAACTACGTTCTCTGGTCTCATTCTCTCTTCCTTTTGGAAACAGAAACCTTCTGATGGACAGGAACACTTGGTTGATGATGTTGGGGCTGGATTTATACCTGGCCATGGTAGTCAGCAGCCATCTTCTTCAGAACATAATGTGGATCGATCAGTTGACTCGCCAGGCCAGGAAGAAACTGTTTCTAAAGTAATCAGAGCTGACCAGAAACGGTTCTTCTTTGATCTTGGGAACAATAACAGGGGCCATTTCCTGAGGATATCTGAGGTAATCTTGGAAGAACAATCTTTTGCTGGTTTAGCTCGATTGTATCATGGATTTAACATTAAGCATTTCTCAATACATGAAAATATAGGTAGCAGGTTCTGACAGGTCTTCCATCATTCTACCGTTATCGGGTCTTAAGCAGTTTCACGAAGTAATTGGTCACTTTGTGGAGATCACCAAAGATAAGATTGAAGGTATGACGGGTGCAAATGTCAGGACAGTTGATCCTCCTCAGAGATGAGTATTGATTCTTTTTAGGGGATGGGATTTTCAATCCTCTAACCATTTGAATCTGGCAACTTCAAGTAGATTGTCTGATCGCGGTGTGCAATAGTTTCACGCAATATCTGGCCCCTTTCACATCTTATAAAAATAATCCAGCAGGATCATCATTTATCTTAATAGTAGATAAAACTTTGGAGTCTGCAACTGGGAATAAGCTGAAAATCATCCACCATTTGTATACTTCTCTCTCTCCTTCTCCTCCTCATTTGCTTCAGTACTGTTTAACTATTTTTTTGTTTTTCTTTTGTTCAGTTTGGGTCATTGGGTGTATATCTGTTGACGGCTTGATGCATTTCAATTGTAAAAGAATAATTGGGGTTTATATGTTTGGGCTAATGCCACTGGGAATAAAAATGTAAGTGTACTTAGGGTTCTACTACTGAAAATTTTCGACGAAATTAAAAATATAGAAAATTGTCACAGAAATGAATTAAAAAATATAAAAAATAAAATAAAACTAAAGTTGCGTATAAAACTAAGGGAGAAGAAAACAAACAGCGTTTAAAAAAAAAAAAAAAAATTAAAACAAAAAGAGAGGAACAGCTTGGACACAGTCACAGAGAGAAGGGAAAAAAAAAAGTATTGTCGGTGATTTATATCCTCTTCAATAAACCACCACGACCTCTCAAACCCTAGCCTGAAAAAAGTCGCCGTCTTCTCAAGAAACATATCTATCCACTTCGCTTCATTACAAGGTTCGAACCCAGCCGACATAACTCCTCTTACTATATGTCTATCTATATATCTGTCGGTTCCTCTGTTTTCATTGAATCGTGTTTGAGATTTATGTCAAAATCAGTAGGTTTTGGATGTTTTTAGTGATTCATTTCTTTTGTTGTTGAATCTATTGCAGATCTGATGAAACTAGATCGAATCTTGCTCTAGATCCAGATGCTCCTTAACTTATTTACTCGAATTCATCATCATCATCATCATTATCATCGTCATGTCGCTGTTTCTAAAAGACGATTCGATTCAAATCCGTGAAGTATGGAACGAAAATCTCGAATCAGAAATGGCTCTGATTCGAGAAGTCGTCGACGATTTCCCATTCGTAGCGATGGACACAGAGTTCCCCGGAATCGTGTGTAGACCAGTGGGAACATTCAAAACCAACACAGAGTACCACTATGAAACCCTCAAAACAAACGTCAACATACTCAAGATGATTCAGCTCGGACTCACTTTCTCTGATGAGAAAGGAAACCTCCCAACGTGTGGAACAGACAACAAATACTGCATCTGGCAGTTCAATTTCCGTGAATTCGACCTCGAATCCGACATTTATGCTACTGATTCCATCGAGCTTCTTCGTCAATCAGGCATCGATTTCGCTAAAAACAACCAATTCGGTATCGATTCGAAACGTTTCGCCGAGCTTTTGATGTCATCAGGGATTGTTTTGAATGAAAACGTTCATTGGGTTACATTCCACAGCGGATATGATTTTGGTTACTTGTTGAAGCTATTGACTTGTCAGAATCTGCCGGAAACACAAACGGGGTTTTTCGAGATGATCAGTGTGTATTTCCCGAGGGTTTACGATATCAAACACTTGATGAAGTTCTGTAATAGTCTTCATGGAGGTCTGAACAAATTGGCGGAGCTGCTTGAAGTTGAGAGAGTTGGGATATGTCACCAGGCGGGATCGGATAGCTTGTTAACGTCGTGTACATTCAGGAAGCTGCAGGAGAATTTCTTCATTGGTTCAATGGAGAAATATTCTGGTGTTTTGTATGGATTAGGTGTTGAGAATGGTCAGATTGTTCATTGATAAAAGATCTCTTAATAAAAAAAAGTCAAAAGTTTAAAGTTTTTAAACAGTTTGTTATTTATTTAGATGGTTTTAGATTATTACATCACAGACAAGGTTGTTTAAATAAGTAGATCACAATTCGCAAGAACTAAGCTCTAATTTTGGTTTGGTATTGTGTTTCTCGTACTTATACATGTAGTCAATCTATGTGAATTTGTTTTTCTTGCGGCGAAAAAAAAAAAGGTGGGCCAATCATCACAAATTCATGAAAGTGGATAAGAAAAACATAAATTTGAGAGGTGTTATGAAAATCAACGTGGGCGGCTAACAAATATGTGAACAATATAGGCACGCGTTAAAACTTTTAATTGTTTATTAATTTGTGTGGAACCCATCGTCACTATGTGTGCATAATAACTTATCTTTTTCTCTATAAATAAAATCAAAATTCATACTTCAAAGAGAAGAAGTTATAAGAAATCTCTCTCCTCCTCTCATCTCTTTATTTTCAGTATCCTGATCCTTCTGCAGGTATAAATTTTTTCTCCATTATTTATATTTATATACACCATAAAATAAAGTAATTATTTATAACACGTTATCAGCACGATCACTCTATGATCGCTGAAAAAAATACGGTATTATACCGGACGGTATGTCGCCTCGTTAAAAGAAAAAATATGAGAAAAAGAAAAAAAACAAAAAAAGAGAAAAGAAAATTATATAAATAAATAAAAGAAACTATATATGTATATATATGTTACTTCATGCACTATAATTAATTATTTTCTGTTAATGGTTGGCTGAGCCACCTGAAATTTTATTTACTGCTTTAAATATTTATTTCTGTTGTCGGTCGGCTGAGCCGCCTTAATTTTATGCACTGCTTTAAATATTTATTTCTGTTGTCGGTCGGCTGAGCCGCATTAATTTTATGCACTGCTTTAAATATTTATTTCTGCTACCGGTCGGCTGAGCCGCCTTAATTTTATTCACTGCTTTAAATATTTATTTATGCACCGGTCGGCTGAGCCGCCACATATTTATTTACTGTTTCTATGTGAATGACTCCGTGACCATAATATCACCGTGAATTATTTGTTTATATTATATAAGAAGGTTTATTCATCTGTATAAATATTTTTATCTGAATCGATAATTTTTGTTTAATTGATCTCTAATTTTTCAGATTAATTTTTGTTTAAATCTTTTTCGCCAACGGTCTCAAAGAAAAATTTCAAAAAAAAATTTCAAAAATTTCAACTTTTTCCAACGGCTAGGAATAGTATTTTTCAATCTATGAATACACTTATTTTCTCATTCATTTCATCAAAACAAAATTTTTTCATCTCTCTAAAAACTCTCTCCGAAAAAAGAAGAAGAATTTTGAAGTTTTGAAGTTTTGAAGAATGTTTCGATTATTTTTAATATTTGTTTTTGGAATCATTATTATGTGTATTTATAATCTTTGCGTTGTAGATTTTACTCCGCAAGAATTTCGTTTGAACATTAGTTTATTTGTTTGTACGCTTTTTCTTTTTGTAATCGCTTGCATTATTAATGTAAACGGTTTATTTTAAATATGTTTTAAAATAAATTAAATAAAGATTTCTAATAATATTCCATGTTTTTATTTTAGAAAACAAATGGCAAACATTGAAAAGCTTAAGATCCAAGCTCTTCAAATCACTGGAGCGAATTACATAGCATGGACCACAGATGTGGAACTTCATTTAGATTCGCAGAGTTTATTGGAGACGATAAAAGAGAAAAATGAATCACCTGCCAATGAAAAGGCAAAGGCGATAATTTTTCTAAGAAAGCATCTAGATGAAAATCTGATGCATGATTATGCAAATGTAAAAGACCCCGTGGAGTTGTGGAAAGCTTTAAAAAATAGGTTTGACAACCAGAAAACAATAACTCTCCCACATGCCCTTGACGAATGGGCAAATTTGAGGTTCCTAGATTTTAACAAGGTAGCACAGTATAATTCTACCATGTTAAGAATCGTGGCTCAGTTGGAATACTGTGGTAAGAAAGTGAGCGAAGACGAAATGCTCAATAAAACATACCTTACATTCCATAAGGAGCACTATGTTCTTGCAGAACAATACAGGAACTGCAAGTACAAAATGTTTTCCGAGCTGATTGTGGCGCTTATGATAGCAGAGAAGAATAATGAACTTCTCATCAAAAACCACAATGCTCGACCTGCAGGAACCAAAGCATTCCCTGAAGTGAATGCAACAGATGTAAACAATCCGGAGAAAAAGGATGTAAACTATCCTGAGAAAGGGAATCAATCATATCGGGGTCGTGGTGGTCGTTTTAATCGTGGGCGTGGAAGAAATTACAACTCACGTGGAAGGGGGTCGTTCAAATGGGTTCGTCCTCAAAATGATTCAAAAGGGAAGGAACACCAAGAAAATTCCACCCAGAAGAGTGAGAATGTGTGTTATAGATGTGGATCTAAGGGACATTGGGCCCGTACGTGTCGAACTCCTCCACATCTTTGTAAGCTGTACATGAATTCCACGAAAGGAAAAGGGAAAGAAGTCAATTTAGCAGAAAACTTCGAAGATACATCATATCTCGATTCTCCCTCCTTTGCAAATGATTTGGATTAGACCGCTTTTGCGGTTAACTAAAGAGCTTGTATTGAGACTGCTGAAATAGTCTCTAGTTATGCCATATATATAATATTATGCTTTTGTTATTTTGAAAAATAATGTTGTTTTAACAACAATTTAATGTATAATTATTGTGTGTTTTCCTTTTATGAATAAAATTTACTTTCCTTTTATTGATGTTTATCTTAATCACAGAAATGGATGAAACAATCTCCAAGGAAATGGCTCAAGAAATTTGTATACCAGATAGTGGGACAACACACACTATTCTAAAGGACAAAAGATATTTCTCTAACTTAAAACCGACAAACATTATTGTCAATACAATATCAGGTCCTGTAGACGTGATTGAAGGAACTGGTATGGCCAACTTTATGTTGCCTAATGGAACCAAGTTTTCCATAAAAAATGCCTTGTATTCTCCAAAATCTAAAAGGAATTTGTTGAGTTTCAAAGACATATACCTTCAAGGATATGATACTCAGTCTGCAACTGAGAATGAAAAGAAGTATATGTACATAACTTCTGATAAATCGGGAAAAAGGCTTATATTGGAAAAATTTCCAAAACTTCCTTCAGGATTGCATTATACTCATATAAGTGCAATCGAATCGCATCTAGTGATTAAAAGAAATCCAGAAGATTTCACATTATGGCATGATCGCCTCGGTCATCCAGGCACCTCGATGATGCGAAAAATCATAGAGAGCTCACATGGACACCCATTGAAAATCCAGGAGATATATCATGGGAATAAAAAGACATGTGCCGCATGTTCTCTTGGAAAACTTATCATAAAGCCATCGCCAACCAAAATTTCTTGAACAAATTCAAGGAGATATTTGTGGACCAATACATCCACCATGTGGACCATTCCACTATTTCATGGTATTAATTGACGCATCCAGCAGATGGTCACATGTTTGTCTATTATCATCTCGAAATATGGCATTTGCGAGATTTCTAACTCAAATAATCAAACTGAGGGCTCAGTTTTCTGATTACCCTATTAAAAGAGTTAGACTAGACAACGCTGGTGAATTCACATCCTAAGCTTTTAATGATTATTGTATGGTAACGGGAATTGAAGTAGAACATCCTGTAGCTCATGTTCACACACAAAATGGTTTGGCTGAATCTTTAATTAAACGCCTGCAATTAATTGCAAGACCATTGATCATGAGATCAAAACTCCCAACCTCTGTATGGGGACACGCTATTTTGCATGTTGAAGCACTTATCCGAATGAGACCAAGTGCATATCATAAATATTCCCCATTACAACTAGTATTTGGTCGTGAACCAAATATTTCTCATCTAAAGATTTTCGGTTGTGCGGTATATGTGCCTGTAGCACCGGCACAACGTACAAAGATGGGACCCCAACGAAGGTTAGGGATATATGTGGGTTATGATTCTCCATCCATTATAAGGTATTTAGAACCTCGAACTGGTGACCTCTTTACGGCACGCTTTGCTGACTATCATTTTGATGAAAAAGAGTTCCCAGTTCTAGGGGGAGAAAACAAACAAGTAGGAAATAATATAAAGTGGAGTGTACCATCTTTGTTACATCTTGATGCTTTTGCAGATACTAAAACGATAATCAAATCACATATTCCAGCTGCAAATGTTCCTGCTCGGATCAAAATTCCACAAGAACATGGAAAAGCAGACGATACACGTGAGTCTAGAACACGCATGAAGCGTGGTAGACCAGTTGGTTCTAAGGATAAAAATCCTAGAAAGCGAAAGGAAGCTGAAAAGCTCGATACTCCCAAAATAGCTGAAAATATTTTGGAGGAGACAAATCATGAGAATAATGATGATGTAGAAAATCGTGAACCTGAAGGAAATCATGAGATTTCTATCAACTATATCCATAATGGAAAGATCTGGGATCGAAATAAAATGGATGAAGTCGATGACGTTTTCTCATACCTCGTAGCAAAAGAAATTGATGAGGAAAACGAGGATCCAGAACCAAAGTCGGTATATGAATGTCAAAAGAGACATGACTAGATAAAATGGAAAGATGCAATACAAGTCGAACTTGATTCGCTCAATAAGCGAAATGTATTCGGATCTATTATACTCACACCTGAAGATGTGAGACCGGTTGGATACAAGTGGGTTTTCGTTAGAAAACGAAATGAGGAAAATGAAATTACGAGATACAAGGCTCGTCTTGTAGTTCAAGGATTTTCTCAAAGACCCGGGATTGATTATGAGGAAACATATTCCCCCGTTATGGATGCAATAACGTTTAGATTCTTGATGAGTCTAGCGGCTGATGAAAATTTAGAAATGCGTCTCATGGATGTTGTTACAGCATATTTGTATGGATCATTAGATACAGATATCTATATGAGAGTTCCCGACGGGTTTAATATGCCAGAAGCATTGAAATCTAAACCCAAAGAGTTATGTGCAATAAAGTTGCAAAGATCATTATATGGGTTAAAGCAATCTGGGCGAATGTGGTATAATCGTCTCAGTGAACATTTAACGAAAGAAGGATACGTGAACGATCCTATATGCCCATGTGTTTTCATCAAGAAAACAAAATCCGGATTTGTGATAATCGCGGTATATGTTGATGATCTAAATATAATTGGGACTCAAGATGAAATACAGAAAGCAACAAACTATTTAAAAGGGGAATTCGAGATGAAAGATCTCGGACAAACAAAGTTTTGTCTTGGCCTACAAATTGAACATTCCCAAAAGGGTATATTTGTGCACCAATCCACGTATACTAAAAGAGTGCTAAAACGATTCAACATGGATAAGGCAACTCCTCTTAGTACTCCTATGGTCGTTAGATCACTTAACGTTGAGAGTGATCCATTTCGACCGCATGAGGAAAATGAAGAGATACTTGGTCCTGAAGTACCGTATCTAAGTGCAATAGGAGCACTTATGTATCTTGCTAATTGTACAAGACCTGATATATCATTTGCCGTTAATCTTTTGGCAAGATTCAGTTCATCTCCTACGAGAAGGCATTGGAATGGGATTAAACATATCTTCCGATATCTTCAAGGGACGATAAATTTAGGATTATTTTATCCTAAAAATTCAAAAGGGCAAATGGTTGGTTTTGCAGATGCGGGATATTTATCAGATCCACATAAAGCCCGATCACAGACTGGATATGTCTTTACAATCGGAGGCACTGCTATATCATGGCGTTCCCAGAAGCAAACGCTTGTGGCTACTTCTTCAAATCATGCTGAAATCATTGCACTACATGAAGCAAGTAGAGAATGTGTATGGTTGAGATCAATAAGCCAACACATTCAATCAAGCAGTGGGATCAACGTAAACAAAGAGCCAACCATCCTATATGAAGATAATGCTGCATGCGTTGCCCAAACGAAGGAAGGATATATCAAAAGTGATAGAACCAAACATATCCCTCCGAAATTCTTTTCATACACCCAAGAACTTGAGAAGAATAAAGACATTGAGGTCAAATATGTCCGATCATGTGACAATGCTGCAGATCTCTTCACAAAATCACTGCCTACCTTGGTGTTCAAGAAGCATGTCTATGCTATTGGAATGCGCCATCAACGTGATCTGTAAAGTTAATCACTCGAGGGGGAGACTACGTCGTTGTACTCTTTTTACCTACTAAGGTTTTTCCCACTGGGTTTACTTAGAAAGGTTTTTAACGAGGCAACCAAAGATATTACGCAAGAGACATAGTGACATTGGTCTCCAAGGGGGAGTGTTATGAAAATCAACGTGGGCGGCTAACAAATATGTCAACAATATACGCATACGCGTTAAAACTTTTAATTGTTTATTAATTTGTGTGGAGCCCATCGTCACTATGTGTGCATAGTAACTTATCTTTTTCTCTATAAATAGAACGTTAAACGTTCATTGTAAAATCACAATTCATACTTCAACAAGAAGAAGTTATAAGAAATCTCTCTCCTCCTCTCATCTCTTTATTTTCAGTATCCCGATCCTTCTGCGGGTATAAATTCTTTCTCCATTATTTATATTTATATACACCATAAAATAAAGTAATTATTTATAACAAGAGGAAAATTGTGGATTATGTTCAAGAGGAAAAAAGGGAAAGACTAAACCGACCAGCGAAACGGCGCCGTTTTAAAAAAGGACCCAAATTTAAAGAACGGCTCAGTAAAAGCCCATTAAAGTAGAGCCCAGGTTCGCGACACATCTGTGAAATCGTATAATTCAGGGTTCGTAAAACCCTAATATATATAACTCGCTACTCAGTTTTTGCTCTTGGTTGCAGCCTCTGTCTCTCTTTAAGGGTTAGTCTCGTACTCCTTCTGCGTAGTTCCTCAATCGAAATTGATCTGTGTTTATGTATGTGGTCGTCTTACTTTGTTATTCTTCCTCCTATCTGGCTCAATAATTTCGATTTATGTGTTTATTGAGACTAATTTGCTTCATTTTCTTGGCAGATTTGGAAAAAGACTTTTGCTTCTTCTTCGTTCGTAAAACCAATTCAAAGAGTCAATATGTCAGGGTAAGTTTCTCTTTCGATGCAGCTATGTTGGAGTTTACTACATTCTTTAATCTACTGAATCAGTGATAGATAGAGAGTGATACATTTAGGGTTCAAATGTTTAGTTTTAGGTCGATTGATGTTATGCTTTGATTTGTGACTCAAATCTTTAAACTTTCTAGTTGGGCACAGATTACTCGAAAGGTAGATTGTTTGATGATTGTTGATTTGATCAAGAATTGATAAAGTTTTATACTTTGTTGATTTTTTTTAGTGATGAGGCTGTTGTTGCTCCTGTTGTTCCTCCTGTTGCTGAGGCAGCAGCGATCCCAGAGGACATGGATGTGAGTACTGCATTGGAGTTGACAGTAAGGAAATCTCGTGCTTATGGTGGTGTTGTTCGTGGTCTCCATGAAAGCGCTAAGCTTATCGAGAAGCGTGTTGCTCAGCTCTGTGTCTTGGCTGAAGATTGCAACCAACCTGATTATGTCAAGCTGGTTAAAGCTCTTTGCGCTGACCACAGCATCAAGTTGCTTACGGTTCCAAGTGCCAAAACCCTCGGGGAATGGGCTGGTGTAAGTAGTTTTCCTTTTATATGGTTAAAGCTCTCTCCTCTAAGGAAGAGTGTGGGGGGTAATAATCTTGAATTTGGTTGCAGCTTTGTAAGATTGATTCAGAGGGAAATGCAAGGAAGGTTGTTGGATGCTCATGTCTTGTGATCAAGGTAACGAGTCTTTTTGCTTTCTCTTAATCCATGAATCTTAGGAACCTCTAAATTCTTATAAAGTCTTTGAGACTTGTGTCTGGTGATTTATTTGTGTGCTTCTGTGTTGGGTTGTTACAGGATTACGGTGAGGAGACAACTGCTCTAAACATTGTCAAGAAGCATCTTGAGTCTAACTAAATCAAGCAAAAAGGTCAAGTTTTCAGATGCTTTCATCCCAAAGGAAATGCATTTTGTTTCTTGTGGCCACTCTCTTTTTTTCTTTCTCGTTCTCTCTGTTTTGGATATTAAATACTCAGTAGTGGATATGTCATGTTCGATTTGTTTCGAACATGAAAGTTTTGATGTTATGTTAGGTTCTATCAATTCCATGACCAACCTCGCTCATTAAGATTTTATGTTTTGTTTTCTTATCACATACAGTCGTTCTACAATTGAGATTTTTTGTTTTGTTTTTTGAACAAAAAAAATAAATACTTCCAGAAAGTGAAATTTCATTTTCGGAAAAAACAAACAAATTAATTTGGTTGGTACGCATAACAGATACATGGTTTAATAGAACCAAGCTAAGACAGACCCTTGAGCCAGACCAATAAACAAGAAGAGCGTAATGGCACTACCTGCAGCCTCTGCGTGTTGTTATTGCACAGATTTTGGAGTCAGAATCATCAAAATGCTTACGTTAGTTAATCCCAACAAGCCTGTCACTAAAACAATACAGGAATCTCAGTCCTCGATAACATTGGACCGTGCAAGCAACCCCAAAAGAGAGGGTAAAACAGCAGCCTTGCAAGGAACCGCCAACCGCGATCCTCTCATCATTGGCCATGAACACAGCGACCAAACATTTCCCAACTAAATAAAACACATTGTAGGCTGCAATGAGTAGAACAGGGTACCAATCTTTGAGAGTCTCGGAATGAACATCCTTAGTGATGAATCCCGGAAATATCGACAGTATCACAATGTTAATGAGAATGATCCAAAGCCGAAAGATTTCAGACTCTTGATGATTTCCCAGCGAGCATTTCTACATTCGGTTCTGGTTGATGAACCTTTCTCATCATCGGAGTCTTTGATTACATGAAGAGTATTTCTCCATTCCGATCCGGTGAAAGAACTTTTCTTATGTCTCTCCTTCTCGTTTATCGCCTTGGTCTTGAGCTCATCGTAGTGTTTGGCTACAAGTCAAGAAGTATAGTTGTTGTAGAACACAACATATAACCATCACAACGCTTCCCACAATATATAAAGTAAATATTTACACTTCTACTTAGCCCATCAGAATTTTGATGTTTAATAGATCTTTCGTTTCTTTCATTTTAACTAAAGTTGTTTTAAACCTTTTATGTAAAAGTCTTAAAGTAATTATTTTTTATAACATTTATATATTACAGTATGGTATTTTATTGGTTGAATTGGTTTTAGTTAATAATGTTCTTATATAAAAATATAAATAATTAAATGAAATCATATGATCTATAATATGTGTGCAAAAACCTTAAACATCACTTATAATGAAACACTAGATAACTTACCCGCACATAAAAATGACAATTAAAGAAGTGCATTGGAGTTTTAGTTACAAAAATTATTGTAGTATTATCCGGAATACAAAATCTGTTAGTGTATTATGAAACATGTTTAAAAAAAGTTTTATGTTTCAATCATCGATTTTTCGTATCGGAAAATCGATTATTGGAATACAAACACAAATACATCTTTGTAAAAAAGTTGATGAAGATTTAAAAAATTTAGATTGCTCGAAAACTAAGAAGATGTGTGCTCGGTAAATTTGAGATGATGAAGATGATATCATAGAATATATATATTTTGTAAGGTTTCTGTTTAATTTTTAAAAATTTGGATTGCCTTTAAAATTTGAAAATTAATTTATTGTTGTTATTCTGATAGATTTAGATAGGGTTTAGGTATGAGAATTAATTTATAAATGTAGTTTGGATTTATGAACGTAGCAAAATTTATACTTATAAAAGTTAAAAAATATATTCTAATATATTAATATACATGAATTATACGCTTACATATTTGAGTTGTTATATATATATATATATGTATATATATATGTTAGTCTCAATTTAAAAATATAGATCTTAGATCAATCTAATATATATATGTACTACATGAATCCTTTATGTATAGATAGAGATATGATGTTTGTATTACTGATGTTTAATTTTAATTAATGAAATAATTAGAATATTATGGCACATTTGTAATTAATCTAGTAATATTTGGGTAATTAATTGTTTAAACCATAAATCTATGTGAACACGACACGTCAGCGTGACAATCTTGTAAATCACACGGAGGGGCAATGTTTTTTATTAATAATGTTTCTCAATTAATATATAAGGGATGGGAAATAATTTTGAGACTATAAATTTTAGAAATTTGTATTTCATATTTAGGATATAAACTATATAGTTCTGTTTTAAAAAAGCTTCACTTAAAATTAAACTATTTTCATAATTCTCCTAGGAAAAAAAAAACATGTTTAGACATTGGAAACAAACAGGGGGAAAAAAAAGGGGCTCCTTATTTAAGAGAGGAACTACAGATCGATCATTCCATCTTTTTCTTTCGTTGCCGCAGAAATTAAGAACCTCTCTCAACCCTAAAAAAATCTCGTGACTTTCGCATTCGGGTCTCTTGTTTTAGGGTTTTGATTAGGGTTTCTTATTTGATTCGTAGTAGTTCTTTCTTTGTTTGCGCGATGGGTGAAAGAAAAGGCTTGAGCAAATACTATCCACCAAACTTTGATCCGAGGAAGATTCCCCGGATCCGAAAACCTAAGAATCAGCAAAAGAAGTTTCGTTCGATGGTTCCGTTACGTATTCGATGCAACACATGTGGGAATTACATGTCGGAAGGTACCAAAATTAATTGCCGTGAAGAAAAAGTAATCGGAGAAACCTACATAGGGATCAAAATCCATAGGTTTTACTTCAAGTGTAGTAAGTGTTGCGCCGAGCTGATATTGAAGACCGATTCAAAGAATTCGAGTTATGTAGCCGAATCAGGTGCAACTTGTGTTTATGATCAACACGAGGAGGAGAAGAAGCAAGCCGAGGAGAGAGGGGATGTGATGAGTTCTTTAGAGAAGAGAACTTTGGTTTCCAAAAGAGAGATTGATGTTATGGCTGCACTTGATGAGATGAAATCTATGAAATTTAGACGCGTGTCGGTGAGTGTAGACTCTATGCTTGAGGCTTTGAGTAGAAGACATAAAGAAGAAGAAGAAGTTGCAAAAGAGGAAGATGCAGCGTTGGTAAAGTCCATCAGATTTGGTAAGCAGAGGAGGATTGTGGACGAAGAAACCGATGAGATAAAGAAAGGAAGAATGGAGGTAATAGATGCGAAGAAACCTAAGACTAAGAAACTTGCTTGCATTATAACCTTGAAGAAGAAGAGAAGACAACAAGTTTGGGACTCGCATCACTATGCGACAATTATGGTGCTGATGAGGATTGAGGAAGACTGAATGATGTACGTTGAATCAAATCTAGAGTCATGTTAGAAACTTATTTGTAGAGATTAGTTTACTATCATTTCTATTTTTTGCATATTGAGTATGTTTCTGCAATTTAACGAAGAGTTTATTGTTTTTAGAATTACAACATTTCTGCTTCATTCTTCTCAAGTAATAACAGGGTTGGAACTGAATACACAGAACCCCAAAAAGTTATAACATCATGTTCCTTAATTGGACTTCATCTCCACGTCTGCATCATCTTTAGCCAGAGTATCTGGAGAATCTCGCGGTAAAAGACCGAGAAGAGGCAGAGGGAGCAATGAGCTAAGATTGCATAGGATAATAAGTGTTGATAAGTTACCAAAACTGTCTTTTGTGATGCCGAAAACTTGAGTCAGCCCTGCACCCATAAGCCCACCTAGAACACTGCCTCCGTTAGAGATTGACATGAGTGTAGCAAAGAGAGTTGCTTCCATTCCTTCTGGACATAATCTCGCTGCTAACACAAGAACTGGCATGAATGAAGCCTGTTACAGTTTGATATTAACTGTCAGTGCATTGATACTGACATATTCCAATAATGCTGCATTAACTAACTATGGAATCACACAAGAACTCTAAGCCTTTTAGAAACTTAATGCTGACAAAAGCGTAAACCTGAGCAAGGACTGTTAGGATTAGAGAGTCTCCGATAGCAAACCACTCGTCGCTGATTCCCAACTGTCTGTTGAAACCTGACACGAGGATAACCTGCAAAACATAAGAGCGGTCCCAAAAGAGTTACTGGTTGTGTAACAGAGGATAGATGGCAAAATTTTCTTGTAAAGAGCGGATTGGACAAACCTGAGTCATCCCAAGACCCGTGCCAAAAATTGTCGTCACGAGAAAGATTTTTCTCAAAGGAACAGTCTTCAGGAATCCATTGTACAGTCCTACTCCAAGTAATGAAGCAATTGAGGTCACAAGTTTAACTCGTCCCAGAAACTCCGGAGTAAAGCCGAGTTTGTTCGTTCTGAGATGAAATTTGTACCAAACAAAATTAGTTAGAAACTGTAATTAATACAGTTCATAGGATATGAAATAAGCCGATAACCAAGAACCAAGTGGAAGAGGACATACGTGAAGTAAAACATTGCAGAATCCGAGTGTGGTGTCGCTTGCCATAAGAATATAAACAAGGTCGGGAGAAAAACATTTGGTTGCTTAATGGCACTCCATAGCTGAATCATGTTCTGCTTTGAGGTCTGAAGAAAGCCAGGACTGACCAAGGGTATGTTCTCTTTCTGCCCTGATGCTGGTCTGACAACACGTTGTTCGTTCACGAGAACAGCAACTGCTGAAGTTATCAAAGGTAGTAAAGCTGTCACCCCAAATACAAACCTGAGGTATAACAGCTTTTAGAATGCCACGTAGTTAGTTATCTATGCCACGGGATATCAAAAAAGAAATGCAACTGTTTGCGCAAATCGTGTACTGTACCTCACACCATAAGACTCCACCAGGGAGCCGCTAAAGTAGGAACTCACAATCCCGCCAAAAGCTGAGGATCCCCAGCACAAAGATTGCAGCGATCCCGACACGCTTTGTGACTCACCACGAGCCCGTTCCACAACCATTGAGTCTACTACCTATTAAAATTTAACAACTCAATATTTCGATATGCTGGAATAACCAACGCTATCTTGCAATTCAACCAGACTAAGTTAACCAGAATAGGTTAGAAAACTTACAACATCAGAAAAGGCAACAGAGAGGGAACCGAGAAGTATACAAAAAGCAGCACTATATTTACTGTCAACAAAAGCAGCCATCAAACTCCACGAAAATGCACCAAGAAGTCCCGAGAGAACTAGATATGACCTCCTTCGATAGCCAAATAGAGGCACTGAATCACTGTGAAACAGACCAACATACTTAGACTTTGCTATTGATCACAACGGTCTTTCTACACAGTTGTCTAGTCAAGAGGTATAGAGGTGGTGAAGGAATCATACCTGATAAAACCGTAGAGAGGCTTAACAAGCCACGGCAACGAAGAAAGACCCGTAATCACAGCTGTCTAGTCAAGAGGTACATTTTGTCAGCCTATAAAGAGATATTCCCTGAAAGTCCAATAAGGAAACTACAAAAGCATTTGAATCAATCTCATGCATTACAATGACATACCTCAGCAGGATCAAGACGCAAATCATCTTTTAAATAGAAACTAACAGCGAGCCTCGCGAGTCCTAAAACACCTTGAACAAAATACACCATTGCTACAGCAACATTGTCTGGTGATAATTCAACCCCGTAGAATTTGCTTCTGGTGATACTAAGATTTCTTTCTTTACGAGGAGGCTGTGTTCTAATACTAGAAGTATCTCTGTCTTCTTCTACATTTGTATTCGATGTATCTCCTTCAGCTACACCTTTTAAATTACACACAAATTTCTCACATTAGAAATGAGTAAATATCACAGTTCAAACAATCACCAATTTCTGAGGATTTTGATGCTTCCTAATTTTGTAGTAATGGCTATGAGCTTACTGATTCGAGAATCTAGAAGCAAGCTTTCCTCAGAATCGCGCCGGCGAGGAAGCTCCGGGATTGAAACTATGGAGGACATATCTCTGTCCGGAGGTCTCTTACGAATCTTCCGGCGTGGTACACGGTGAGATCGGGCGGCGATAGCAAGGCGTCGTGTCCCGTTGTTGATGGAGAGGAAGGTGGATGGCAAAAGTGTAATTTGAGAAGGTGAGATTGAGATAGAGAAAAGATTGAGACTCGCCATTTAGTTTTCTTATTTTTTCTTTTTTAAATAAACAACACTCCGTCTCTTGCTGCGTTTTGTGAGATTGTGAGTCTCCTTCGTGTTTTTTCTTTTTCTTTTTTTCGATTGTAGATTTTTTTTTCCGGTCACATACATTAGTTTTTATTAAAATGTAAAGTTGAACTCTTCATCGCGAGAATTTTGATTTGATATATTATTTGTCAAAACCGAATAAGAGTTATATTGTCAAAACCGAATAAGATTAATCTATATTTTTTTGAAATGAAAGGTAAAATTATAAAAATAGACGAGTTGGAAATTTTTTTTTTGCACAGGACTAATAAACTACTATAGTTTTTTCTAACATTATATACATACGTATCCCCATAAGTTCAAATCATTCTAAGAAATCAATATAAGGACTAGTAATATATTGTATTTGGATTTTAATCATTTTATACATGTTCTAATACGTCTACGCAAAAGACGACCAAACATGCGTTGCCATGTCAATAAACAGGAAGGAATATCCGTGTTTAAATGATTTGAGGCTTGAAATTTCCTAATGGATCTCGAGTTTTCTTCATGAAAATGAAACACAGTTCTATTTTCTTTTTTTATTAAAAAATGGAAACGCATTTCACTTAAATCATAAGTTTTTTTTTTTTTTTTTTTGGTATATATCAATCTTAAATCAAAAGTTATGAATGGGTGATAAAGTATACTATTACCATCATAAAACCATCATTTTCACACCTTCCATTCAATTCAACAAGACCTAATTGTTGCGTATTTGACCGGTCGAAGCAAGAAGGAAAGTTCTGTTTCTTGGTTTTGTTAAAAATTTCAGATTATTTAAATCGCCATTCGTGGTCTCGTAGAACAAGTATTATATCATATTGCCTCTAAACAAATCCGTGAGAATTGAGAGAGAGTAACTATTTTAAAGAATTCCCAAAGAAGCTTCAAACTTCAAAGACTCAAAAAGGAAAGTAACCAAGAACAAGTCAATGGAGATGGACTCATCTAGTATGATCAAACTGGAGACTCTATCCACCGTGAGTTCCTCACCATCGGAGAAAATCCATCTCCGTCCAATGACGCTTTCCGACGTTGACGATTTCATGGTCTGGGCCACTGACTCAGACGTCGCACGCTTTTGCACGTGGGAGCCTTACACTAGCCGAGAAGCCGCAATCGCGTTCTTAAACGACGTCGCTTTGCCACACCCTTGGCTCAGAGCTATATGCTTAGATAACGACCGTCCTATCGGCTCGATCTCCGTCACGCCAGTTGATAAGATCAGAGGAGAAATTGGTTATGTCCTCGGAAGCAAGTACTGGGGGAAAGGGATAGCGACGGAGGCGGTGAGGCTTGTGGCTGCGGAGATATTCAAGGAGAAACCGGAGATGGAGAGGCTTGAGGCACTTGTTGACGTTGACAACGTCGGATCTCAAAGGGTTCTTGAAAAAGTTGGGTTTGTGAGAGAAGGTGTTATGAGGAAATTTATGTATCTAAAAGGAAATGTTAGAGATATGGTCATGTTTAGTTTCTTGCCTTCTGATTCGTTGCACTGATCTGATTTGAATCAACAAATATCAACATAGATAAAGTAAAGTTTGTTTGATATCGAAATTTGTATTTTGCTTAGCTTGTAAAATCACATGTATAAAATGGAGTGATGCTCTATTTTTGTTCTTCTTCTTATATATGCTGTTGTAACCTTAATATTAAATACTTCATACCAAAGTGATTTTTATAATTTGAGAGTACGATGCCTTCGTATTTACCATGTTCACTTCGCCAAATATAACAAAGTTTGACTATCTCATTAAAATATATTGAAAATTAAAAAGTACAAAATGAAAAATGAAATTTTTTTACAATAAAAATATATATAGTGTAATAGCTTTTATGTTTTAACAGCGATTAGATGAATGGAAGTCTGATAACATTCGATTAAACTTTAACTAAAATTACTTAATCATACAACACGTTGGTTGAGTGACTTGATTCTTGCGTTGGTTTTGACAGTATAACAACGATCATCTGCACCATAACTTGAGAAAACTGTTAAATCCTTTTTTGGGAATGCGACCACACACGATTATGGGCATCCAGCTGGAAGCAACACGGTAAGTTCCGAAATCCAAACAATACATTGTTTGGCAACCAAGTAAGTGTTGGAAGTCAAAAGTCAAATATAGACAGCTATCCACTCACATGATGACACGTCAGCTTATGTCGTATATATATATTTAATCGAATAATAACATTAATAAATACACTAATCTATAGCAAATGGTACTACTTTAATGTTTTTTTAGTCAAAAGCAATCAATCTCAAAGTTTTTCAAGATCGCAATCTGTATATAAAAGACATCGTTTAAACGTAGTGATGTGATATCTCAAACAATCACTATACTAAATGGAGATGGACTCACAAGAAACTCAACCAATAATGAGCTCTTCGCCTCCGGGAAGAATATCACTCCGGCCGATGACTCTTTCCGACGTCGACGACTACATGGTTTGGGCCACAGACCCTAAAGTGGCACGCTTTTGCACTTGGGAGCCTTGCACGAGCCGGGACGAAGCAATCAAATACATAACCGATCGTGTCTTGACACACCCTTGGCTCCGAGCCATCTGCTTAGAAGACGACCGTCCGATCGGCTACATCTTGATCATGGCGGTTGATAACATCAGAAAAGAGATTGGTTATGTCCTAGCGAGAAAGTATTGGGGAAAAGGGTTTGCAACGGAAGCGGTGAGGCTGGTGACGGCGGAGATATTCAAGGAATTTCCGGAGATTGAGAGGCTTGAGGCACTTGTTGATGTGGACAATGTCGGATCTCAAAGGGTACTTGAAAAAGTTGGGTTTACTAGAGAAGGTGTGATGAGGAAGTTTCTATGTATCAAGGGAAGTGTAAGAGACACTGTTATGTTTAGTTTCTTGCCTACTGATACTTTGAAGTAAATTGATCAACAAAAAAGATTAATTCGCAATTCTATATACATATGTTGGATTTAGTTTCTGATTCATATGGAATATATGATGTAAACACTCTGTTTTTCATTTGCCAAAAAAATTCTATAAATTCTGCATAGTAAATTACGAAAACAATTAAAGTCAATGGCTACTATAGTCAGTAATCAGATTAGAGGGATCACCCAAATTATTCAATGATAGGTAGAGAAGAGTTTTATAAATCAAAATTTAGGGATCTCGATAATCTCTTTAAAAGTTCAACTCTTGATAAAGATTTTGAAAGAAGGCATTCAGGTTCTATTCGATACAACAGAAATAGAACAAAACTAGCTCCGGAACAAGGGCTTCACAACCTCCTTTTGGCTAGGTTAAGTGATCTTAACTTAAATAGCAACATTCTGACCATTTCTTGGATCTAAAACTCTTCTACCTTTATCTACCTTCAGAATATCAAATTTTAGAATTCTCTGTTTTGGATTAGTATCTAAAGAGTCTGCAATAACAAGACTATTTATCATCCCCTTGCTGAATCTACAACACTAGATGGCTTTTCTAAACACATATCAAGTAGATGAGATGCTAGAATAAGAAACACAGAAAATGAAAGTAACTACAATGATCTTACTCAAGTAGCAAAACATATATATTATTACATAAAAGAAAAAGGGACATGCGAGAGATGGAGAGGCCCTAAATGTGGTTCTAACAAATGGATGACTAACATAGAACTCATCAATACACAAGTCACAAAGTGGCTTACTACTGAAAAGATGAGTATAAACAGCTAAAACTTACTTTAGAACAACCATTCCTCAATGTATGAACCACTACAACAAAAGGAATAAATAGTGTCCAAGAAAGACGTACATTAGAAAGCCCATGATCTGTTTCAATCACAAGTTATAATGCAGAAGCTTCACGTCCTCCACATGGTCTAGAAAGGTGTGAACTCTACGACCCTTAAACTCATCCGTTCCTTGGATATCAACTCTTATGATTGTGTTCCTCTCGGGATTGTAGTAGAAAACATAGAAAGTACAGATGAATAATGCCGCGATAAGACAATTTCATTTGTACTAGTCCTTCCAACAATGTTTAACTCAGCCTCTGCAACAACATTCTTCCACATTGGAGGCAATGCATATACATGCCTTGACCATTCATGTTTCTCAGCGTCTACTAGAACCCACAACTCAAGACTTCTAGTTTGGCCAGTAATTATTCCATGAAGCTCATCTGACTGAATTGCACCTAACCTACCCTCATAGTTTACCAGAGCTGATTGACCATACAACACCATGCCCCTGGCTTTCTTAACAAAACTAAACTTCTCAGACCTAACATCAAAGCAAACTATAGTAGAAATCCCTGACAATGGACCGACCATAGCTTGATAATACAAACAACCATCAATGCATATCCCATCATGTGCAGGATGATGGGGTAAACAACAATCAATCATCCTCCATGAAAGAGTTTGAGTCCCTAATGTCAGAATCTGGTACTCCTCACAATTCTTCTCTCCGTTTCCATAACATGGCCAGGTCATGGACAATACCTTAAACTGCTTCTCAATCGGATCATAAACCAAAAAGCTTCTCACTTTAACCCTCCTAGTCTTCACTTTGGGTAAAGGTAAGGCTTGTCCAGTGCTGGGATTGCATATCATTGGTACTGTTTCCTTCCTTCCCTTTAGGACCCGTAGATGTGTAAGACAGAGCAATCCACGGATATGACCACAAATTTGAGAGGTACGATCAAAGGGGACCTTCATATGATAACTCGGGGATACAAGAGACGAGTTCTCATCTGGATTTTGGATTTGCGGTGCCGTGAAGAAGAACAACTCACCGGTTTTTTCGAAGGAGAACAAGAGTTGCGGGAGAGTTGAAGATCTGGTCAAGAATAGCTCTGTGAAATCGGGACGGAGAAGTATGGAAGACCAGAGCTTTGATACGCAGCGACATCTAGCTATAGATTTCGCCGGCAATTTCAAGAGTATTTCGAAAATGAGATCAGTTGGGATCGCCTCTGAGTTTTCTCTTCTATCAATTGAGGTTGATGACTGCCGTGAAATGGTTAGAGCATCCTCGGAGACGTCCTGCCGCCGTGTTTTCATGGCGGAGACACTGCCTTTAAACCCTAGTTTCTCTTGTAGACGAACCGCAGTTCTATTTCAACTCCTTTTTTTTTCTTTTCTTATAGTATAATTGAGGCAAAATTTAGGGTAAATAAAATAAAAATCAAGAACCGTACTCGTACTCGTACTCGTACCCGTACCCGTAACCGTGTCCGTAATCGTAACCGTAACCGTTCGTTTATATCTTCATCAGTAAGTCACACCATTGCATATTTCAAATATTTCAACACTTTTTCTCCGATGGTTACAAAGCCAAAATAAAGAATCAATTACGGATTTGCCATTTTTTGGGATGACATTTGTGGATTTTGCCCTTTTTTGAATAGTTTATGGATTTTATCCTTTTTCAGGCTACGGAAACATGCGTTTTATTCGTTATGTTTGGGTTTAGTCGGTTGTAGTTGTTCTTAGGGTTTAGTATTTTGTATAAACTACATATTTTTATCAAAAAAAATCCGAAATACGTACATTTTTAAGTGTTAGAAAATGGCAAATCCATAAGATTTTTGCAAAAATGGCATTTTTAAAAGATTTTGGTAAAAAATGGCAAAATCAACAATAATCCCCAAAATAAAAGATGGTGAGTGTTTTTTTTTTTTAAAGAGGAATCCTATATACCATTATAGTTTATCAAAGTTGTTGTATGAGTATTACTCTCTCTTCTCCTGGAAATTTCTTCCATGGATTTTACGAAGCTGAACTTTTCAGACCGAACATCAAAGCAAACTATCATAGAAATCTCGGAAGACATGTTGGCTGAAGCTCCATAATAAAGAACACCATTGATACATACCTCATTAATTATCGGTTCGTCCAGGAAAATGGGGTACGCAACATTCTACCATTCTCCATGACAGTTCCTAACGTCAGAACTTGATGCTCTTTAGAGGTCCCACCATGTCTTCCAGAAGATGGCAAGGTCATGCACAAAACCTTGTATTGTTTTTCAATCGGATCATACCCGAAAAAGCTCTTCTGGTCCTTTCTCCTCCTCATCGTATTCATTGTTGGTAAGCTTAAGGATTGTCCCGTTCTGGGGTTACATATCACAAACTCTTCGGGTTTTTTCCCCCGCTGAGTTATAAGATAGAGCAAGCGACCGATATGACTAATGCTATTATGGCTACCATTGCCACAATAAATTGGAAAATGGGAAAGACTGTTGGCTACAACAGACGAGTTCTCATTAAGATGATTTTGAGACTGAGGCTGAGGCGTCGAATAAAAGAACAACTCAAAGTGGTTGTGGAAGGCGAACAAGAGCTGAGGCCGAGATGAAGATTTGGTCAGAAACAATTCGGTGAAACTGTAAAGAACCCGACTCGATAGTGCTTAGCACTAGCCCAAGACCGTAATACCCGAGAAACTCGATATAATCAAGATAAGAAACCCTCTAAGTATGATAGAAAATTTGGAAGAACAATTAGAGACTACTTGAAAGACTTTTGGAGAGACTTAGAGAACTTTTAAAGAGTGTTCTTTTATTTGAACTTTCTTTTTATTCACTTGTTCAACTTCATTACAAATGAGGGGGGTGAGGAGGTATTTATAGCCTCCAAGGTTAGCTTACAAAGTCTCTAGATTATTCTACCATCATCTCTATAACTCTACTAAAATATCTAGATTTTATCTTACAAACTTCTAGATTATTCTACATAATTTTCTAAATATCTATCTAATAGAATTCTCTAGAACATTTAAGGAGGTGATGATTTTTCTATGATGCTCTAGAGAAATCTAGAACTTAGGCTTAACTTTGGGTTTTATCCAATATAGAATATTGAATTATAAACCCATAATTAAGCTTAAACCAAAATCAAGTTTAACTTCAATACTCCCCCTTAAACTTGATTTTGTCAACCATCCCGAGCTTCAAGCGAAGTAACTCGAATTGGCCTTTTGGTAATGACTTGGTGAAGATGTCTGCAACGTTGTCCTCACTTCGAACTTCCAAGGCTTCAATTGTTCCATCAAGAACCTTCTCCCTTATGAAGTGATGTTCTAACTCAATATGTTTTGTCCTTGCATGAAACACCGGATTGTTAGCTAACTTGATAGCACTTTGATTATCTCCGTAGATAGCCACCGGTTTATTTATGGGCTCGAACAAATCTTCAAACAGTCTTCGAAGCCATATACACTCTTGAGCAGCGAGTGTGGAAGCTTTATACTCCGCTTCAGTGGTAGATAGCGATACCGTTGGTTGTTTCTTGCTACACCACGAAATGCTTGTGTCTCCACATAAGAACACATAGCCCGAAGTTGATTTTCGGTCATCTAGATCTCCACCAAAGTCAGCATCTGTAAAACCATGAAGAGAAATCTTTGCATTGTACTTGTACACCAAGCCCATGTCAAGAGTTGTCTTGACATACTTCAAGATCTTCTTTGCCGCTTCTAAGTGTGGTTTCCTTGGTGCTTGCATAAACCGACTTATAAGACCTACTGCGAAGGCAATATCAGGTCTTGTAATGGTTAAGTATAGAAGACTTCCCACAAGAGCACGATAAGGTCGAGGATCAGGTAACAATGAACCTTCATCACGTTTGAGCTTGATGTTCACATCCATCGGAGTAGTGCGCGTCTTTCCTTCGTGCACCCCGAACTTCTCAACAATCCTTCTTGCATAACCTTGTTGACCAACGAATATTCCATCCTTTACTCTTTCAACCTCTAGGCCAAGAAAGTTATTCAGCTCACCCAACTTCTTCATCTCGAACCTTATCGACATATCTTCTTGTAAGCGAGCAATTTCTGCATCATCATTCCCAGTAATTATCATATCATCCACGTAAAGAAGAACTACTACGTGGACTCCTCCTTTCTTCTTGAAGAATAGACTCGGGTCAGAATTTGATGCCTCATAGCCGCAAAATTGAAGGAACTGAGCAACCTTTCCATACCAAGCTCGTGGAGCTTGTTTTAATCCGTACAAGGCCTTTTTCAGCTTGCACACATGATCAGGATGCTCTCGTGATTTGAAACCAGGTGGTTGCTCCATGAAGATACTTTTATCAAGCTCACCATATAGAAAGGCATTCTTCACATCAAGTTGCCATAACTTCCAACCAAAACATGCTGCTAAGGATAAAAGTGAGCGTACCGTAGTCATCTTCGCCACTGGACTGAATGTCTCATCATAATCTTCTCCATACTTTTGAGAGAATCCCCGAGCAACCAACCTTGCTTTAAATCTATCAATGCTCCCATCTGCTTTTCGCTTAATTCGATACACCCATTTGCAAGAAACGGGCTCAACATCCTTGGGTTTTGGAACCAGATCCCAAGTTTCATTTTTCTTGAGAGCACTCATCTCCTCCTTCATTGCAGCTTCCCATTCTTGGACTCCTTTAGCTTCATCATAAGAAGATGGCTCATCATCATCTAACGGAGCTGCGAAGAAGCATGAATAAGTAGTGATGAATTCTTCATCTCTATATCTTGCAGGCTTGACAATGTTTCTTTTCGGCCGTTGATTGACCATCGAACCATGATCTTGTTCCTCTTCTTCTTGGTTAGTGCTCCCCCTTTGACCTTGAATTTTATTTCCAGGACTTCCACTCTCACATGGTACTTGGAGAATTGATTCATCGATCTTGGAGGAACTCGCACCATCTTTTTCAACCAAGACTTGAGGTGGCCCGTAGTATGAAGAAACTTCATCAAAGACAACATCACGAGACACAACATACTTGTGTGTCTCAGGATCCATACACCTCCAACCCTTCCTTTGTTCATCATAGCCGACAAATATGCATTTCTTCGCCTTTGCCTCCAACTTAGTTCTTTGTGAATCAAACACATGGACGTAGCAGACTGATCCAAATATTCTGAGATGTTTCACCGTTGGCTTCTTCCCATGAACCATCTCATAAGGAGACTTCATATTGTTTGGACTAAGTGGCATCCGGTTGATGACATAGGTTGCACATCTCATTCCCTCCGCCCATAACTCCTTAGGCAAATCTTTGCCATGGAGCCAACTTCTACACGTCTCACTTAGATGTCTGATCTTCTTCTCTGCTACTCCATTTTGTTGAGGTGTATGCGGACATGTAAATTCTCTCTTGATACCATTATCTCTACAAAAAGAGAGAAACTCCTTAGACATGAACTCCCCTCCATTATCCGTCCTTAAGGTCTTGATCTTCTGACCTAACTCCCCTTCCACGGTAACCTTGAATTCTAGAAACTTGGAGAATACTTCAGATTTTTCCTTCACAAAGTATACCCAAGTGTACCGTGAGAAGTCATCAACGAACAACAACATGTAGCGATACCCGGAATATGAGGGTGTTCTTGTCGGACCCATCAAGTCACTATGGACCCTTTCCAACGGAACACTGCACCTTGAAGTGGAATAGTCAAATGGAAGTCTATGAGACTTTCCATATTGACATCCTTCACAAAGTGTGCCTTCATCTTGGATCTTCAACTTTGGGAGCCCGTTAACCAAGTCTTTATTTACCATAACCTTGAGCTTAGTCATATTTATATGACCATGCCTAGCATGCCATATAAAAGCATTATCGTTGGTACTCATCTTCTCCACATAAGAGTTTGATGCCGATAAAACGTACAGATCTTTAACTCGTGCTCCAGTGTGAACCACATCCGCCTTTAACTCTTGAATATTCTTTAAGAATTTAACATCTCTTGGGCCAAATAAGACATAGTTACCTGAGTCCACCGCATTTACCACGGAGAGAAGATTCTTTTTTACTCCAGGAACATGGTAAACGTTCTTAAGAGTGATTGGGCTTCCATCATCTCCTTTGATGACCACCGTTCCTTCCTTCTCAACGTGATGGATTGAATTATCCGCGGTAATGATTGCTTCTTTTCCTTCATGGCGTTGAAGACTAGAAAATAATTTCTCGTCTCCAGTGATATGATGGCTACAACCAGAATCTACGATCCAATTATTTTCCACTTTCTTAGGTGTAGATGTACTTGAAGATGCAGCCTCCACCGTAAAACATTTTCCCCATTCTTCGTCTTCATTATGACCTTTTGATTCCGCCATGTTTGTTTCCTTCAGCTTGACTCGGCAATCCTTTTTAAAATGCCCAAGTTTTCCACACCGATAGCACTTGAATTTTTTCTTATCTCCCTTAGAAGATCCTTCATGTCCATCATTATTTCTTGGACCACCGTCATTAGATTTGGCTTTGAAGTTGTGTTGCCTCCTAGCTACAAAGGCGCTCCCCGAGTCATCATGAATTTTGACTCCCGCCATTTGTACTGCTAGTGATTCTTGCGAAGCGAGCAAATTTTCAAACTCTTCCAAGGAAGGTTGTGTAGCCCATCCTTGAACCGAAGTCACAAACGGTGTATACTCGGGTCGTAGACCTCGAATAATAAACCGCTTCAACCGAGCATCCGAGATTGATTCCTCCGGATTAAGACTATTTATCTCAGAGCAAAGGTTCTTTACCTTGATGAAAAACTCCGAGATTGAAGACTCCCCCTGCTTCGTATTTGCCAACTCGTTTTCTAACAATTGTAGACGAGCTTCATTCTTCTTGTTGAACAGTCGATCTAACGCTTGCCAAATTGAACTAGCGGATGTGCACCTTGAGACATGCTCAAATACTCCTGAGGATATTGACCTCTTTAAAGCAAACTCCGCCTTGGCATTTTTACGTGTCCATTCCTTTGTCGCTTCCGCGGTTGCAGCATCTCCGGTAGGTGGTGAAGTATTACTTCCGCCGACGACATCCCATAAGTCCTCACTAACCAAGTATGACTCCATACATGACTTCCATAACCGGTAGTTAGATTGGTTTAAGATCTCCATTCCCAATCCAACAACACGACCCATAGATTCCATACTTAGAGTAGATCCGAGTTCTCCTATAATCCCGATCTTGAAGAGCACAAGATTAGAATGGCTCTGATACCATGTAAAGAACCCGACTCGATAGTGCTTAGCACTAGCCCAAGACCGTAATACCCGAGAAACTCGATATAATCAAGATAAGAAACCCTCTAAGTATGATAGAAAATTTGGAAGAACAATTAGAGACTACTTGAAAGACTTTTGGAGAGACTTAGAGAACTTTTAAAGAGTGTTCTTTTATTTGAACTTTCTTTTTATTCACTTGTTCAACTTCATTACAAATGAGGGGGGTGAGGAGGTATTTATAGCCTCCAAGGTTAGCTTACAAAGTCTCTAGATTATTCTACCATCATCTCTATAACTCTACTAAAATATCTAGATTTTATCTTACAAACTTCTAGATTATTCTACATAATTTTCTAAATATCTATCTAATAGAATTCTCTAGAACATTTAAGGAGGTGATGATTTTTCTATGATGCTCTAGAGAAATCTAGAACTTAGGCTTAACTTTGGGTTTTATCCAATATAGAATATTGAATTATAAACCCATAATTAAGCTTAAACCAAAATCAAGTTTAACTTCAATAGAAACATGGAAGTCTAATTATGGTAGACCAAAGCTTCGATACGCAACGATATCTCGCTATAGATTTCGCCGGCAGTCTCGAGAGTATCTCGATAATGTGATCAGCTGGGATCGTATGATCTGTGTTTTCTCCACCATTAACTGACGTTGAAGCTCGTGGTTCGAGTGAACGGATGGTTTGAAGATCCTTCGTGACGTTTTGCAGCTGTGATTCCATGGCGGAGAGGACTGCGTCAAACCCTGACCCTAACTTTCTGCTGCATTTGAATTGTTTTAAGAATAAGTAAAGGAGCAAACAATTTTCCTAAAGTTTATCTCCTCCACTCGAAATAAAATTAAAAATAGCAAAGGATATTAAAATTATTTCTAAAAAATGTATTATGATGTAATTCAACAATATTTTTATAAGTAGTAATTAATTTAGTATGATTTCTCCATGTATTTCTGAAATTAAGTAATTTTGTAATGGATTGATGTATAACATGCTTTCGTTATAACTAGAAAACGACAAGAAACATCTCTCAGTTGGATCAAGCTTCTTGTTAATTGAATCATCACAATAGCTCTTCGTTGTGTTCAACTACTTTTTCTTCATTCTCTATCGTTAATTTTCTCGAAAAGTTCAACAACTAAACCTTGATTGAACATCGGAATATCACATCTGTTTTGGACTAAGTTAAAAAAGTGACCCTCATGAGGGCCATGTAGCCCAAATTTAGGACCCATGTAGTGGAGGTTCGTTACCCAATTACAGATTGTGTTCTTTTAAGTCTTAGCTAATCAATTACACAATGTGTGAGGCTACTTTCGTTTCTCACTTACAAAAAAGTGTGAAGAAATAAATGTGTTTGTGTGAGGCTACTTTCGTTTCCCACTTACAAAAAAGTCTATAGAGATATTTTTACTTTGCAGCCTTGTCCTGACTTTACTTTTACAATTTATTTCTACTTCTGGTAAAAATAAAATATATCAAGCCTTATATATATACACATGTATATCAAAAAAATTGTTTTTAGGTTTCTTGAATAAAGACTCCACTCCATTCAATATATCTGACCAGGACCGGCCTAACACTATGTACTGCCTAAAGCAAAAAATAATTATTTTGCCTTTAAATATAAAAATAAGGGTTTAATGTAACTACTAAGATTTGGACCGGAGACGTTAAGAACTATACACGAGGGAGAAACCGCTGGACTAAGGATATTTATTGTTTTTGATGCCCTCAAATTCTTATATAATATTTGGCGCCTAAAGCCCTTGCTTGTTGGGCTTTAGGTCAGGGCCGGTCCTGTCTGACCAGTGAGTCCATATAGGTCATACAGGTGAGGTTACCTTGATTGATTAATCGTATGAAACAATTAATTGTTAAATTTACTAGTATGTGAAATCACTTTGTAAGTATGATATATTTTCTGTTGACCAACAATAAATTAGATTCATTTACTCACTAGCTCACTAAACATATGTTTTCAGGTTATGAGTCATTAAAAATAATCTCATCTCAAATATTCGATAAAACTATAGATATTTTACTTTTAAGTATGTGAAAATTCGGAATGAAATGAAACATTTGTCGGATTAGAGAAAATATCAGAATGTTCACTACTTTAAATCATATAGCTGATGAATTTTAATTTTAATAGGATAAGAGTAATAGTTAAAGGTATTCAAGTGAATCATTTTGATATACACTTCTTGTTCTGGACCACATTTTCCATTCCTTCTTTATTTATTTGTTGATGTTAAGTAAAAAGGATTTTTCATGAAAAAATAGAGCTGATCATTGTATGACTTCACATTCTACAATAATGTTTTTTTTTGGGGTTAAAATAAATAAAAAGGAATTTACTAGTGTTGTTGTAATCACGAAAGCTGAAACAAGAGAAAGCATGAGCAAATAGGAAAAAGAGAAAAGCATGAGATTACACAATACAGTCTCTGCACTTTCATACTCTTTTTCAATCATTTCATTCTACATTCACATCTTTACACTATTCCCTCTATTCCCTTTAATTTTTAATATTTCAAAATAAATTGTATAACATAAAACTTTCCTTTAATTATATTACAGTTAACAAACTGAAACTAATTATTGAACTTTTTGCAGGCAGTGCTACAAAAATAATGCAAAGGTTTTTGAATGTTGATGATATTTTGACTAATTGCTTACAATTATAACTCTTTATGAGATGTCAGATAAAAATAAAACTAATCATTGAATTTCTGTATTCCAATACAATATATAGAATCAAAGAATGAATGAGCTTCGAGGTTATCAAGAAGCCCTAACTTTTTCAGTACAACGATCATCACAAGACGTTATCTTTTTATTCTTTTCACTTTTTCTTTGTAAGAAAACAATCATAATGAATTAAATAATTGCTTTTGTTGTATAATCTTTTTGTTACACTTAAACGGCTAAATCTTACTTATACAACAAGCATTACACTATCATTGTCTCGGGAACACACTTCAATTTACAATAATGATATTATCAAAATCTATCCCTAAAAAGACTGATGAATTAAAAAACCTTCCATCTGTCAGTTTAATAATCCTGCACAAAAAAAAGTTTTATTAAACTGTAGTTACCTCCTTATTAATAGAAATCAAAACTAATTTTAAAAATATGAGATTCAAATTAGTTTATTTACCTACACGCTGTAAGTCCTCCCATGATAAATAAAAGAACCGGTTTGATATGCGAAATTCTGTTAACCAAGACAAAATTACAATCCTTTATACACCTATAAACCGGAAATTCACCCATTAAAATCAATTGAAACCGAACCGGAAACGGACATACGAATAGAGAAGTGGGGATTGGACAAACCTGTTTCTTGTTTCCTTTTGTGTTAAAAGGAGCAATGAAATGTCTCCATCATCATCACTCCTCAAGGCTTCAACACTCGTAAAAAAACACTTTAATTTACCTGACAAAAGCGAATTATATACCATAAGTGATACTATTAATATGATGAAGAATTATATCCAATAATAACTCTTTATGAGATTTCAGAAAAAAAGATCACACAACAAATCTTGGTTTCAAGAAAATTTTCCATCATTAATTATTGCTCTGATGATGCAGAGACAATATCTTATCACATTTTCGAATCGAAAACACGAAAACAGATCGCTTTACCGGGTCCATTTTTATCCAAATCAATGTGATGTGCCTTAAATGATATGAGAGGAACGTGTGGATTATACTTTTCTTGGCTGATACATAATAAATGCAGACCAGTCTTATTGGACTTAAGTCTCTATTTTGAGTTTCAGGACCACAACTATTACTACTAGTCTACTACTACTGATGGCTTTGATCAATGTCACTGACACTATATTCTATCTGTTATCTCCTAATCTTCCGGTTAGATTTATAAATCTTATGAAATAGAGATGTTACCGTAAAGAACTTCTTTTCGATTTTCTTTTAGAAAAATGTTAGCTCTGTGTATCCACGGGCGTAAGGTAAGAGTTCTTCAGCTTCGACCCGTGCAGTGGAATGACTCGTGGTTCGCTTTAATCTCTTGTGATTTGACTCAACCTCTGCGCTGAATATGCCATAAACCGGTCTATGATCTGAAAACCGCGACTCCCCTCTTACATAAGATAACTGATGTAGACCTTCTCCATGCCATAGTATCCGATCACACCTTTAGTAACATAACCAAAAAAACCATTGTTAGATCATTACATGGTTCTTGTTTACTTTTTTTTTCTGATAGCAAGAAACTTACCAAGCAGGAGTACGACGTTTCTCCTTTGGATGCAAATCACCTCCTGCATATCTATCCGAGTTATTTGAGTATTTGTAAGTTGGTGGGAAGTAAATCTTTCCTTCGTTCCATCCTTTAAACACATGCCCTCGTTTCTGCTCTATCCGTAACTGCAGTGAAAATGTTTTCAAATGTTTTGGATTAGAACATTCTATAAAGTAATGTGATGAAACTCTATAGTCTCTATTGCTTTATTTATGTATTATATCTACTACATGTACCTGATCGTTTTCTAGTAATGCCCTCCAGTTTTGCATCTCGACTAGTGCTTTTGCGGATCGGTAAGAGAGCGCTATCCGGTAGTTCAGATCCCCGAGCCATATTACCCGACTAAATTAAATGGAAACAAAGAAAAATGAGAACGGTAACAAGATTTGAGTGCAAGAGCCATGATGAATTGGATCATGAATCTTAAGCACATCATTCGATTCTTGATGTTCTGTTTCAGTCTTACTCATGCTGAAGGATATTCTCAGGGGACTTCTCGTCTGCAGAACTCTGGACTCGAGGAAACCTTGTTTTCTTGAGTATCTCCATGACATCGGAGTTTCTCCTTAGCTCATCACCTTCTTTTTGTCCCGAGGTCAAATGAGTGCAGACGAAGCAGAAACTTGTTTGATGAAGCAACATACTAATTGAGATTGATCCCTACAAGAACCACAAAAGCAGATTATAGCACTGCACTTACTAACCAACTCATATCTAACTAACTACCTCAAGCCGTAACAAACATAAGATTTTGTTACCTTATTTCCGAGATAACCCATTAATCCTCTACCAACACAAGATACTTTCATGTTCTTGACGTGTTCTCGTAACTCGCTTTTCACCCAGATTGTTAAAAAGATACCAACCATCTGTTTACTTGCGACCAAACAGTACTGCGATGAGTTCCACGGGATTCTGTAACCGTTTTCAGTCGATGCAGAACCAAGACATGACCCAGGTGAATTCAAGAGTGTGCTTGGAGAATCCCCTGGGCCGTTATCATCGTCCGAGGAGCCCCACCGGGAAACATCACTAGGCCGAGAATAATTGCTCGGCCTAGAGTAATAATCGCTTGGTCTAGAGTAATCACTAGGCCTTCTTGAGTAATCACTAGGCCTGTGACTACACCTGAAGCTCGGGTCAAAATCACTTGGTCTATGACTGAAGAATACGCGATCACACACGCTGAAACGACGGTCAAACCGTGGCTGTGAGATCGAAGGGTCATTCTCTTCCATACTCCATACGCTCGGGGTCTGGAAAGACCTTCTGTTGAAGAAAGTCTCGTTCTTTTGCCTCGAAGATCCAGAGAAATCAGCATCAATCTCTGCAATGGGGACAGGAATAGGCGACGGAGTATGACAGACACTGCTTGTCCCGGGGAGGTTATTGAGCGTTTTCCTGATGAGGGAATGCCATTTCTTAGCAGGACCATTGTCTTCAGCTCCAAGAACATTACCAGCATTAAGAGGAACAATCTCTTGGAACCTAAAAGAACACACAAAATAAAAACAGAGATTAGTAAGAACGTTTCTTGAACAAAAACAGACATTCTTGAAAAGAAAATGTAATGGAAACACACCCGAGAACGTATATATCTGCAGGAGCAGAGGAATGAAGCCATTCGTCGAGGTTTAGATCTTCCGGAGGAGAGCGTCCAGCAACGTTCCATGTAGCTACAAAGATGCTGTTCTCAAGTATCATCAACATGAGATTCAACTTCAATGGATCATAAAATAAGTCACATATGTGTGCGTGTGACTGTGTTCATATATATTATATATACCTGTGGTTTTGGACATCAATGATTCTGGGATTTTCATAGTTCATTTTCCTTTGTCTAGCTTGCTGCTCCCAGTTCTTATTGAGTTTTTCTGTGAAACTCAGAAATCATGAGACTAAAGAAGAAAACTTTATCATAGAGGATTGATCATATTGATAAAATGATTATACCAGTTTTGCTCTTCTTGATTGTGCAGGGCTCTCTCTCTGAGAAGCTGTTTCTGTGCTCAACTTCAACTCCTTAATTAATTTGGCCCCAAAAAGATTATCAGAATTTGAAATCATATATAACAATCCAATTGATAATTTACAGAGAATAGAATGGTGGTTAAAGCAAAAATAAAGGTGAAATTGAGATGTTTTGTTTTCTCAGAAAAGACAAAATATTACAAATTAAAGCTCTCCAGAACAGAACAAAGAACAAGTTTTGACAAGAAGAAGACTTTTTTTTTTTTTTTGGTGTACCTTGAGGTTGAGGAACAGAAACATCTGCTTGAAACTTTTCAGTTTTGCTTTTGATGTTGAACCATTTCCTCACCATCTTCTTGGACCATGACAACTTCATTGAAGCAAAAAAGAAAATAAATGAAATTGTTCATGAAAAATGGAATTTTGAAGAAACATAAAAATAAACCTTGTTTTTCTTGGATTTATCGTCTCTCATTGCTGTTCTTGAGCTGTCCTTGGAATAAAGACTCAATCCATCCAGAAAAAAAAAAGACAACAGAGATCAAATCGAACAAATTTGGGGTATTTAGTTGAATCACTGTTTAAAAATATGTTTTTTTTTTTCCCGAAATTGACAAGAATTGACTTGTTTCTTCTCCTTTGAATCAGACAGAAGCTAAAAGCAAAGACAAGTTGGTCTCGGATTAAAAGGGTTTTTGTCACTCCTTGGCTTACCGAGACAGGAATAGAGAAATGGGTTTTAGTTTTTCCCAAACAGAGACGAATGAGAGAAGAAGTGAAGATTGGTTTTTAGAATAAGAAGAGAAAAAGTGTTGAAGAGACAAGGATTCTTGAAGCAGGACAATGAGGAAGATTTTGGAGAGAGAAACCAAAAAAGTGTGATTTGATCTTTGAAGAGAGAGTGCTTGGTTTAAGCTTTTCTACTTGGTCCTGATTCTTCTTCTTCTTCTTCTATGAGAGAGAGAAATAGAGAAAGAGAGTGAGCCTCGTTCTCAGTGAAACGGCAAAGTAAAAGCAGTGGATTTGAACAGAATAAAGCGCAGAGAGAGAACGAGAGTGCTTATTATAAGGTCTTGCACTAATCACTTCCTCCTATGGGCTTTCACTTTTTTTTTTTTTGGCTGAGTCTAATAATAATTAGTCAAAAAAATTTTAATCAAGTTTTACTATATATAAGAAAATTAAGGGCGGTTTATTCAATTTTTTTAGTTGTCTTTTTTTTCTTGGTAATGGTTTAATTTTTTTTTTAGAATATTTCATAAGAAAGTTTAAATAATTAAATACTTTCCTTATGATTTTATGCTCTTGGTCATAAGATATCCATATTTAAATTATATGTTGATTAATAATATTTCAATTCATATAACATACAAGTAAAATACTGCCAACTTGTTCATGTTTAATTTTTTTTAGAGATTTCTTTATTTCCATCATTCACAACATTGATCAAATTTTTACGTTTTTGACAAAATATTCTACTGAAAATATAATATGCATATTTCGTATTTGTCTATTTTATATATCATTTTTTTGACAAAAGTCTATTTTATATATCCTTGTATTTTTTATTTTTTTGGTAAGTTTAGCAACTTTTTAGGGCAATGTTTTAGGTCTACATCTCTTGTATAGATGTTTTTTTTGGACAAACACTCTTGTCTAGATGTAAACTTTGGAATTTCCATATACTTCTATATAAGAAAAAATATTTTTTTATAAAACATGTTATCTATAATATACATTATTAAAAATATAACAAAAATGAGAAACATAATCAACATAATTGACTTGATGTATTATTTTTTTTCCGTGAATACTATTCAAAATTTTTTATCCAGTTCAAGCCTGTCCGCTATTTTATTATTCTATTATTTCACTATTTTACCATACATCTAAATACCATTTTTTATCTTTATAAATTATAAAAAATTATTGGATGCTACATTTTAATAGTTGTGGAAAAATGTAGGTTAATAATAATACACTATTATATTTTAAACGATTCTCAAAAATATACAAAAGAAATAGTAATATTGATGTGATTGTAAAACTAATACTAAATACTACCTAATAAATTTATTTTGAATTAATTCATTGATAATCAACTTAATAAAATGAGTGATGCTAGGGGATCGAGAGGTCTGTGTCTGTGTCTTTGTATCATTAATAGGTCGAAGAAAACCTAGAAGGTAACAAGATCAGGACGGATATTAAATCTATTAGTACTACCAAAACTAAAATATTAGTACTATTTTTTCCTCTCTACATGTCATCAATATTTTTTAACAATAACACTTCAATTCGCATGCTAATTCTCATATTCAATGTTTTATTTTTTATTTTTTATGAAAGGTATTCTAAGCTATATATATATATTCAGTGTTACAAGTTAAACGATTATGTAGGTTCAAGTTATAATCAATTAACAATATCACTTTTGAATGACTACAATTGGTCTTCTACAACGTTCTCGCTAAATAAGAATACAAACAACATATATACGACTTATTGTTTACCAAAAAGCAGTACATGACCACAACGATATTCAAAATGTTTGAATTATTTTATCAACTGCATCAATGTTTTTTGTTTGTGTGTCTACCTTAAGCTTGAAGCCTCGAACTATAGACCAAAATCTAATGTAAACTTTAGAAAGTTTCTTAGTTAACCATTAAACCAAATACACACTCAAATTAACAATCATTTTGAAAGTTCTCAGTTTCTAAAATGCTAACCAAATGAGCATTACATAGCCTTCGGCAACAACAACATAAAAAAGAGGATTCCACACAAGAATAAAGCAAATAATTAGTTGTATAATATTATATGCATGTGTATGTGAACTGTGATTTGTGAAGGATGTGTAAAACAAGATGAATCTTTGATGCTTTTGACCGCCTCGAAAATGCTGAATTTTAAGGATGTTAAAGGGAGCCTCCCAAATCATTTTGGATTAAGGAAGTAGCAAAAAGTTAATCATTATATATTAGTATAAACTAAACTAATGATGCATAACACACTATTTATAATATAGCAAAGTTCTTCTATTAGTCATGCTTTTACCCTTTTTGCCACTTAAAATTGCTCGTAAATTACATATATAGGCCATGTTCTAAAAATCGGCCGCCTACCCGCCTAGGCGCTGATCGGATGGATACCGCGACGATTTTGTCCAAATCGGTAAAAAAAATTGGTGATCCAATTTTTTTCCACCTAGACGTCCGCCTAGACCGCCTAGACCGCGCCTAGCCCAATTTTTTTTTTCATTTTTTTTTAATCTAAAATTCAAAACGTCACACTTATGTTCATAATTTGTATAAAAATCATAAGTTTGACCTTAAATTCTTGTTTTCATGTGTTTAATACAATTTTAAAAATAATATTATATAAATTTCTTATTTATAATAGATTAATATATTTTTAAAATATTAAATAGTATTTAAACTAGTCCCCGATTAATCTTTGTTTAATTTCTGATTTTTTTGTTAGACGATAGGTCCACTCTCACCGTCCCACTAGCGTGTAACAATTTTTTGAACATGGTATATAGGTAACAGGTGTCATTCAACAGCTTGACAAACGTGTAATTTTATCTGAAAAAGACGCTCACGTTTAATTTCGTTGGATGACAATGACTATATACATGTATACATAATTATAATGTTAATCTATGATTGGTTTATATACGTATACATAATGTATAATATATGCATGGATAGTCATTGTAGTTATAATATCGAAACGGATTCTTTTGCTTTAAAAAAGACAAAAATAATTAAATATTTGGATAGGATGGTTTTGGCTTTTAGATGGCCAGATGCCAAACATGCCTTCATCATTTCGTCTTTCCCATTCCAAGCCTCTGCCTCACAATGTTGGTCTTTACTGCTTTGAAATTTCTTCCACTTTAAATTATATTCTTGGTAAACCATATTATTTATATCATAGTATAAACTGTTTATATATGGTCTATGCCCTAGGGTTCAATTTGATGCGAATCTATGTAAATATGTATAAGGATCACCAAATAGTTCTTGATAGAGAAATTATGTTTTTTGCCAATCAGATACCAAAAAACAGAATTTCGCTATTGTAATATATGTTGAATTAAGAAATATAATAGGGTATCATTAATCTGGGTGATCATAAGATAAACAAAACAAAACAAAAACTATAGTGGTTGGTTTTCTATATGATATATAAATAATTTGCCGCCACAATAAATAAACGATCTTCCCACGAGTCGTTTCTTCGTCAGTCCACTATCACACACACGTTGTCATTTATTCTGAGTTGTATTTAACACACTTTGAGTTGTTGACCTGACGACTTTTCGAATTTCTTATGTATTCAAAACGAAAATTATACTACAAAAGTAGAAAACTCTATATTCATAACATTGTCAACACAGTTTCTCAAAATAAACTGTTGTATTCGTAATAATTAATGCATATATGATATATATATCCAACGTTTCAAGTAGAAACATATCATCAAAAAGATTAGGGTTTGTTTCAAAGGACACTTTTTGTCAACAAAGTCTTCGAAGCTCGCTCACATGTACATCTGAGCACATATGATGATATATATGATCTACTATTTGTATCATATATATGAACATGCATGTGTTATGTGTATGCACATAACATAGACTTTAGTAGTGTATATCTTATGCTCAAACAATTGTGCTACAAGAAAAGAATAATGATATAGTTTAAAATTTTGGATATTTCACTTAATAATTATAGCAAAATATAAAAAGAAACAAAAAAAGCCGAAAAAGAAAACATATTGAAAGGGAAAGATGATATGTCACTAGAACAAGACACATTACCCTTTATTGTTTGCTTTTTACTTTGTCTGGTAGACCAAAATCTAGGAGGGATGGGAAATGTAAATTTTAGTCAGTATTAAATGTTTGGATTGTGATATCGTCTTAATTTACTTATCGAGCATGATTTTGCCAAATGTATCTCCTATACATGATGGACAAGTGCTGCAAAAAAAAAAAAAAAAAAGAGAACGGACAAGATTAAATTCAAACAAACCTTTTGATTACATCGTATGTTATTCAAAAAGCTTAGCATTCCTATTTTTATAAAAAGAAAATAATAATCTACTCCACAGTTCAAGGAATACTTCAAAGTAAATAACACAAACACAACTTACTCTATATTTTAAGGAAGTTTTTATTCTTCTTGAATCCTATTATAAATATCTTTATTAAGATTAAATTTTCTTAAAACTAAAAATTGATGGAGTATGAAAAAGAAGAAATGTAAACTGGATAGGATATAATAAATGTTACATGAGACAATACAAACACTATCTCCTCATAAATGTGATAGATAGGTAAACAGGTTCCCTATTTACGGTATGCAAACGAACCAAACCGAAACCAAAATCTGAACCGAATTTTAAGATGTGAGTTAAAACGATGCCGTTTAATATATTGGGGAAAAAGCGGTGTGTAGTCGGTTTCTCGTTTAAGCTGATTTTTGCGTCTCCTCCGGCTAAAAGCTCGTTCGACGCCGCCTGAGCTTGACCCGATTCTGACGTCGTCGTCGTCTTCAATGGCTAATCTCCCCAGAGTTCTCATGGTGAGTGAACTATCAATTTTGAATTCTACTTCTCCCATCTTCATCTCTTACAAATCTTCTTTCATCAGGTGGCGGAGAAGCCCAGCATTGCTCTCTCCATAGCTTCAGTTCTCTCACATGGCCAGGTTTCTCTCTCTCTCTCTTTCGATTCTCTAATTTCTAAAACCCTAGCTCGAATCGAAGGAGTAACGGAACTCTTCTGCGTTAATTCGATTCTCCTCTCCTTTTGCTTCAGATGTCTACAAGGAGAGGCAGTACAGAGGTGCATGAATTTGATGGGATGTTTCGAGGTTTCAAAGCACATTATAGAGTTACATCTGTTATCGGACATGTTTTCAGGTGCTCTCTCTTGCATATCAATCATACTCGAATCAAAGAGAAATAGGAGTCATTGCTTGCTGCTCCGTAGATTACTATACAACAATGACTTGACACACGTTTCCTCACAGCTTTGAAATCGCTGT